CATTACGTTATACATTAGCAGGACATACAGGCCACGAGTTATAACAACTTATATATTAGGGACTTATGAAATTTCAGAGCTACAAATGTAAAAATGGATTTTCATCACAAGTTAATTATTGGTGAAGATTCTCTTTGGAAATGTTACAATATATGAATGGAATACTGATATTGCATGGAAGGTGATAAGAACCGGATAGCATCTAATAGTTGTTCCGTTCTCATTTCATACACCTCAGAATTGAAAAGATATGAATCTGTACGAGTTATAACCAACACCATTCAAATATCGCTGTGATAACATTAAAATACGAATTCGCAATACTATTATTTGAGTTTCAAACCTAATTAGATAGTAATATAATGTGATTAAGTGTCACTAGCAGTTTGCCGTCTTATTCGTGACTCGGCTTATATTACCTCTTGAACCTTACGAAACCCTCCTTGATGCCAGTTAATGATGAACACCAGATTATTATTTACATAATTTGTTTTGTAGATTATTGTTACTCTTAACGTAAATACTTCTAATAAACCAGATAAACCGTGCACAGTTATAAGGTTTCTTTGTTATGTTAGGAGATTAATAGTTGAGGATCTAAGATGACCAAAAACAAATGATTATTTTCATAAGAGTCAATATAAATCGAACCGTGACAAATTAATCATAAGAGATATTCAACAAGATATACCATTAGACACATTCTAAGCTGAGCCTCGGATCTTCATTGAATAAGTTCAAAATATAAATCGGTAGATTTAATGGAAAACTTTAATGTACTCAATCTCACTTAATTTGAATATAATTACATTTTTGTAGAAGCAAGCATATGTATTTAAAAACAATTGACTAGTCAAGATGCTCAGTGTCCATAGGCTGGACATTATCAGCAACAACCTACAGTAAGAGAGAAAAAACTAGCTTCCAACTGAAGAGAAAATTAGAAAAAGACGTTGGATGTGGATAAGACATACATTGCGGAAATGAGGCAGGCCCTCACTTGTAATCTGTTTTACACTTGGTGAGAAAACACTTTCAATGGTGCTACAAAACTGACCACTTTTATTTATATAAATTTTTCAAACTGAAAAACAACAGCATTTGATTTCCAAAGACGATTACAATTACCGTTTTTCCAGGTTGAAAAATAAAAATAAAAACTTATCAAAATGACAAAAGGACAGAAAACGAAATTTAACAGGATATAATATTATCAATGCCTACATTGTTCATGCTGTTCCTAATACTGGACAATTTATGCAGATATACTTTATCTACCAATCATCAATTGCATTGTAACAATAAATGAATGACCTTGTGTAACACTCTATGCATACAGAAATCATCCTATACAGATGAAATCATGTGAATGATTTCATTTTTTAACAAGCACTTTTAAAACTATAACTCCATAATATTTTGAAAGTAACAGCTCTGTATGTTATAGTAAAAAGATAAGTAAATAGGAAGTTAGCTTTCAATGGTTAAATCTGGGTGGCTGTCTATAGCGACATATATATATATATATATATATATATATATATATATATATATATATATATATATATATATATATATATATATATATATATATATATATATATATATATATATATATATATATAAATCACGGTAATGTTTATAATGTCGATTCCTTGGTAAGAATGTAAATAAAAAAATATTTCTTTCGTAAAGATTCAAACAAAAGGCTAGTTTTTATTAAACTACAAGCATGTACACATATATGCACTTTCCTCCACCCATAGAAACGTTTAAATCAAATCGACCTTATTTAATAAAGGCGACAACATTTCGAGGACAAGAAAATGAATAACAGTAATTTCATAGACAATAAATACATCATCAAAGGTCAATACTTTTCGATGGCAGATTAGGGCAAAACAACCGTTTTGTAATTTAAAATTTACCCTAAGGACTATATATATATATATATATATATATATATATATATATATATATATATATATATACGTAAGTATTCAGTAAGTGTTTAATAAATGAAAACGTTTATAAGGTTGATATATATTGAATACTAGTTACTAGAATGTTTCATTAAAAGCTTCTCTGTTTATTTATTTTTCGTAGTGGTTGTTTGAATCTTCTCATTAACGTTTAGGATTTCAATTGATCTGTTTACTGCTGATCACTATCAATCACTGCTTATAAGACTTGTGACAAAAGGAAAAATCGAGTCCCGGCGTGAATATCAACTCTGGTATGTAGGTACATCTAACTAACATGTCTGAAATAGGGAGAAATGCATGCTATGTACTCAACTTCTAGCCACCATCCATCTCTGATTATAAAGCTCCTCTGTTTGCTTCTATCCATCAGTGTGATGCACCAAACTATCAAGTTCTGTTGGAAAGACTCAACAAAGTACGATTTTCCAAGCTCTGTTTGATGAAAAGATAGAACTAGGTAGCAATAAAACAACCAATCGATTCAAAATCGTCAATATTCTGAACGTTGAGTAGCGCCAAATAAACTTCATTTAATAACGATAAAGCCCAAGAAGTAATCTTTCAAGTTTATCTACGCACAAAACCGTCTTAAGTAAGTTAACTCAGTTTAACGACTGCTTTAACATATTGTTGTTCTGTCTAACAGTTTTAAATAACAAATATCTGAGACTTGCGGAACAGTTAGACATTTTATTGTAGTGCTGCAAGATAATTAGAGAGTACGTTTAGAAGTTATCCAGTGATTTTTTAATGAGTTGAACAAGAAGCAGGAGAAGTGTGGCTTTTCTATGAAACAACAACTGTATTTTAAATAATTGTACACCCTATTGATAAGTGCAATGCGCTATCTATATTTGATTTCATGATCTGTCTTCAAATGTTTCTTTATTCGTAACGACTAGAACACGTTCTGCATAGATCCGAGAATCCTGATATCACACATTATATACAATACTATTACCTGCTCTAAGAAAACTAGACGATTATTAATGGCCAATTACTAAAATATCAATTATGAAAAGTGTAGTTAATAAGTGGTAACTTTAAAAAAAGAATAACTCCGTACCACCTGAATCTCACTTCGCTTTGTCATATTTATCACACCAAAAGCTTGTTTAGTAGACTATAGATGAAATCGTTTCAGAAAGCTTTTGGTAGTAAAGCGTCCACGCGACCCCTTTTGGGTGTTTTTCTTTTGCGTACCTTATTTGAATTAATCTTTGATCACTTGAAGTACAAAATAATTTCTTGAAACTGCTTACCAAGATTTAAGCGCTTTACGGAAATGTCTCACTTTTACTGGTTTTATACAATGATTTTAGAAGTGAGCGTTTGATGTAACTGCTATGGTAAATGCTACTGAAATTGTTTACCAACACAGGACTTGCTGTACAAAAAGTCAAGGTTCAGCTTGCTAACGGAAGAGAAATATTTGGTGTGCAATAATGTCGTTTTTCAGACATGAGACCATCTTAATACATACTTCACTAAAATGCTTCGCAAATTTGATAACTTTGTTGTCAGATTATGGAATCATTAACAGTACTGTTGAAACGGATGTTAGCCTAAGGTTGGACATCCTAGAATAAAGTGGGAAGAATGAAACACAAATCAGAACAGAGGATACTCAAAGATAAAACTATCAACACAACTGATGCGCCGTAAAATGGTTGTCTTCACTCATGTTGAAGGGTCTGACAGATGCTTTAACATATGACTATTTGCTAGCAGTGCGCAAACAGCGATCTTTGAACCAAAAGCTGATAATAATTTCATTGCCAATGAAACAGACACATATTAGAGGTATTATATAGTGAGAGAAATAGAGAAAGTTTACCTATTGGTTCACGCTTTAATCACAGTCTTCATTAAGAAGCATTAAGCCCTCCAAAAGGTTTTATTTTACATTTCGTCTCACTATTTGGAATATACAGAAGACAAAAACCAGAGCCTTTTAAATAAAGAAGTTGTGGTCAAAAGTTAACTGAATTGCATATTTCTAATAACCAAATAAATATATTTCAAATAGTGCTTCATTATATTCAAGCCGCGAACGCTTATGTTGCTGAGAACTGTGAATAACTCAATCGCGTCAGAAGCTTATGCATGTCACACTGATATTAGAGAAAGCTGCATCTCTCTCTCGCAGGTGTTACAAAAACTTAGTCTGTCTAGGAACTTGATATAAAATCAGAGACAACAAGAGAAAATCATTTGTGTGATAATATAGCTAAAATTTTCAAAAGAAGCGGAGTGACATAAAGAAGTAAGAAACTGCAAACATTACATCACAGGCTTAGCAAGCGCGACAATAAAGTAAATAAAGCAACCGAAAGTAGAAATAATCTCGGTCAATAACTACTGGTTAACAGTAAAGTCTGTCGTGTATCAATTTATCAGGGAGTTGCATCAGGTCCTGAATAAGATAAGAATGGATATCGATTTAACAACTTCTCTTGAAGAATTTCGTAACATTTCTAAGCCAATTATAAATATTACATGAGGGGCTCATGAACGTGGATCAATCAGCCTTACGATAAAGTGACCTTCACTTCAAGATGTAGCTAGTGGTGCAGATTTCGGTTCCAATGAACTATTTTCTTTGATTAATAGTGACAACCCTAAATGATTATGATATAAATGTTCAAACAAACTGAACACCCTAACCGAACATGAAGTACCATAGTCATCGGTTAATAATTTAAACAAATAGCTAATTTCCAAGGGAAAAGATAGTTCAGTGATAAAAATGTAGTCATATGGAGGCATCATCACCAGAAATGAGAAAATAATAAAACTTATGATGAATCACGACGTAAAGACGTTTACGTGAAGCGCGTTTGACAAGCTACATAAACCTTTTTACTACTCTGACAACACGAAAAACAAATGAAATCATTCAACGATTTAAATCAATCTATTCTGCCGAAAATGTGCCATAAAACTAAGTTTTTGCTTAAACATAGACACGTGTCTCCGTTTGCACCAAACATACCCAAATCAGAAAAAACTTGCCTGACTCGATCTTCAGATATTGAGCGACGAGTGCAATAAAATACGTTTGATCATACTCACCTTTGAATGGTACTTCATACTCAATCATCCAATTTTATCTGAAAACTATTGCCTCACTCAAAGACACAGTAACAAATAACCTTATCTTTAAATTATGTGCTCAAAAAGAATGCATAATTGGTAAATTAAAACAAATACATCGAAAACCTCCATATTAAGTGGGGATTAAGACGAAAAGCCATCAACAGTTTTCATTGAATATCGAGTATAATTTTTCATACTTACGTATTCTCTGCGAAAAAAAGTTCATAAAAGTACAAAGGCTTAAATATGATAAGGATTTGTAGGGTTCGAAAACTCTTTCGTTCGTGACAACTTATAATTTAAAAAAAAGATATTGTCCCATTCACGAATAAAAATGTTCTGATATATATTTAGAAATTTGTCGACATTATGAAAAGCATTCGATCCAATCCATCTTGTCGCTGCGAGAGCTGAGTAGCTCTTCGTATCCAATCCTGATTAGGCCCGGATGCGTGACCGACAGCATTGAGCTAGGGTTTGTCCAAAATTGTTGAGTTCGCTGATTTCTGCTATTCTGCCGCATATACAGGCCATAGCTTTTAAGATACCCTGCCTTTGGCTTCTGAAACCTAGTCTATATCTTTCTGAAGAACACCAACAGTCTTGTTTGTAAAGAAATGCTGAATACAGTGCGAACACTCTGACACCTTTGACTGCAATCAAATATACATCTACGGCCTTCAAGTAACAGTTAATCAAATGTAGTTGGGAGAGCTACCTACGTGCTTATGATTTTGCAGGAGGGTGCAGTTCACTAACATGCCAAATGCTTCTAGTTCACAATACCCAGTATCTTCATCATGACCATCTATAAACCAATCGATTTCTTTACGCTCGCTTCCTGTTGTTTCATAAAGTTCCAGATGTTTGAATATGTCAAATGAACGGTTTTTTGGCCATTCAAGTGCACTAATTCTAGTTCGTTTGTTAGCTCATTACGGACTTCTAAATATCATGGTTGAGTGAGCGCATTTGTCTTATAGCAGTGGAACAAATGGATAATATTCCTTTCAAAGCAGGTACACTCCATTTTTACAGGCATAATCTATACGTTGCAACGTTAGTTTGCATACGATATGCTTCCCAATTGGGTTTGTTAAATAGATGGAATCAATAAAAATATAAGACAATACAAATGTCTCAGAGCGTTAGTGATTAGATTTATGCTTATTATTGCACAGAGTGCAGTTTCTAAAATATTTTCCCCGAATTCCACCACGTCAATGTTGCACACAAGGTTCAAACTCGGTTTAATAATGTCAGCATTCTTGATGTGCTAAGTATATATAAAACAATTTTTTCAGTTTACAGTTGTTATGAAGTAGATTTGTAGAGCGTTTGGTGTAAGGTATAACCTTGAAAAGACGTGAACGTCATGGTTGCTCCATAGCTGTGCCCTGAGAACGTGATGCTGAAAAAAAGAAGCAAGGGAGCCACAAGGCACTTGGATATGAGCGCTGAACAACGCCTATTACTTTGTAGCGGAACGGACAGATGTATGATAAGTTAGTAGATTAAACTCAAACTTACGCTTGCGGCTGGACTTAAATGTGGTAAGAGACTCCCGATATGAGAATGCTGTGATACAGGACAACGAGTTGTGATATTCAACAGGATGGAGTTGGTTCAAATGTTAGAATAAAGAAGACTATTTACTAGAACGGAAAGCGCAACAAGAGAGTAAAAAATTAAGAAAAACAAGCAAATATTCCGTTTATTGTCTGATTTTTTTAAAACAGTGGCTATTACATTACTCGAAAGAAAGTTGTGTGAATGTAATGGAAAAATGATGGAGTAATAATTCAAGTGGTGAAAGAAGACAATTGTTTCAAGGATAAATAACTAAAATAATTGATCAGTGATGTATAAGTAAACAGAGTCGAAGAATGAGGGTGAGAACTGGGTTTACGATCAGACAGATAGGCAGTAGTTACTGATAGGCGGTAATTATAACCGTAATGAATTATGAGACATGGATCAGATACGATCAGTTCAAGAGGGAGATACTAACCCATGGGTTAGTACGTTTTTGTAAAGTATAGTCTCTAAGCTATCCACTAAAGAGGCTGGGTTTTTTTAAGTTGGGTCAACGTTTGCTGGGAAAACGTTTGCTGAGAGCGTAACTGGTTGATTGATGTGCAGTCCTTCGAGAACTGTCTTGAAGAGTCAGTTTTCAGATCCCTGAATTTTTATGGACCCTCAGATCTTTTTATCGTCTTCTCAGATCAACGTAGCCGAGATAATTGTATCTAGCAGATCAACAAAATAGGGATAAAGACAGGTGTGAAACCAAGTTTTTGTATGGGAGGTTCCTGTTGTTGTAACTTACTAATTAGCGTTCACTCTATCATCTTTTGTACAAAACATCGTGTTCTGTAGGGACCTTCGAGACAAGGGTAGAAATGGTCCAGTGATACCAATAATTGTAACTTTGGGTATGAGAATTATACGAAGTGCTGTGTCAAAGGCGTCGGAACAACTAGAGAATATTAGAGGTCATTCAGCTTTTCCATGTTATGAGTGGGGTGGATGTTCATGATATGGATTTCCTGAACCCATGTTGAGCTTAATAAAAGATGTTGTGTTCATCCATGTACTTCCTTACTTATTCATTCGCAAGCCCCTCCATTACCTTCGATAGTATGAGGAGTACTACGACTGACTAGTAGCAGGCTGAACTTTTTCGAACTTCTCCTTCAAATACTGAGGTCGGGATGGCGAACTCGCAAATCAAGTGAGTGCCTTGGTGTGTGATCCGATAGTGAGACTGAGGTCCCTGTGTTCTGTATGGTGCGTTGCCAATGAAGGTCAACGAAAGCCAATGTCTGTCTGGTTGGGCCTGTCCGAAATTATTTTGCCGATTTCAGTTGACGTTAACAACATATGGTGTTGCTGGGGAAGTCACTTTTTGGCTACATCAAGCCTGAAGGGTCTCAGAAAGGTCTCCTTTGTCTCCGAAGTTCACAGCCATCAGACACCGAAGTGTAAATGTCTCGAGGTTTATCGTTGTCCTTGATACGTTCATTGTTGTAGTGGTGACGATTTATGTGCTTCGCGATATCCTGTAGAATTTCGGTCGTTTAATATCAGTGCTACTCTAATAGCAGACCTGACCCCCAAATTGTAGATCTGTTTTGATGTGCCTACGTAATCTATATGATCCTATGTAGAAATCACATCATAGTATACACTGTCTTATTGTATCGTGGCAATTAACAATATGACATTTAGGACTTAGGATGAACAAATTTTGGCTGAGGATAGAATATTATATTTAATGTGGAATGGTATGGGATACAGAAGAACGACCAAGCCTTCAAGACTGAGCCATGCCATGCACATCAGTCGTCTCGGCGTTCACCATTACGTGTTGAATGTCAATCTCGGTAATTATAAGTTCAGATTTGAGAACACTGTGTTTAGGAACCAATGCCACTACAAGCCTACACCACAGTCACTTATAGTGCTTTTAAGCTTCAGTCCGACTACCACTTACTGGCCTGGACACTGTCGATCATCCTTCTGGTTGGTTCTTTGGTGTTTTTTGGTCTTCTAGCGGCGTCTCTTACGGCCTACGGTTCGTCAAGTCCGACTCGGATTTGGTAGGACTGTATGACCATTGACCTCTGAGACGTCATTGTGAATCCATATGCACAGTATGCTAAAGTTAACTTTAACCCTACGCTTTGATCCTTATACAAGCGAAATAGTTTTACTGAAGTTATAAATTTCCCAGCAATGTAAAGTATTTACCCACTACGCTTTATCAAAGACTGGCTTATTCTCATTTAAGCTACTCTTTAACAACAACTGAGATCGGAGAGTTTTGCAAGGATTTTTGCAACCCATTATTAGAGTTTTGAAGCTATGGTGTTACCACTTCACTACCTGGATGATTGACTGGGGACCTTATTTTTAGAAGCAGCACTAAAATGACTAACAATCAGGCACAACATAAGTTTACTAACAGACAGTTGTATCAGGAGTCTGAAGCGTACCGAAAATATCGATGAAGTAATTGCTCAGACTTGTAAATGTAGTGCTTCAGTCTTCAGTCTTCAGTAATAAGGATAGGAGGTCTGCCGACCTATATTAATCCTTGCAGTTTGTAATACAGTGGAGGTCCAATCTCGTTTTGAATATATTAACAGATGGTGCTGATATTACGTGTTCCGGTAGAGAATTCCAGTAATTCACTACTCGGTGCGAGAAACGGAACTCCAGACGTAAACGGTTTGATCTCGGTTTTTCAACTTTCTTCGAATGTCCTCTCAAATGATCGGTTCTAGACGGGAGCAAAAGATAAGACATGTTAATACCAAGGTCATCGTTTAGTATACGATAGGCCAATATTAGATCACCCCTTATTCTACGGTAAGATAACGGAAATAAGTTAAGGTGTCTCAGTCTGTCTTCATAAGATAGGCCAGATAGACCTTGTACCATCTTAGTAGCTCGTCGTTGGACTCTTTCTAGCATATCTGCTTCATATTTGAAACAAGGACACGCTGCTTGAATCCCGTATTCTAAATGTGGTCGCACATAAATCGGGTATAGTAATCTAAACATTTCATCATCTAAATACTGGAAAGACCTACGAATTGACCATAATACCCTATAGCCTTTCGCAGCAGCAGCCTTACAGTGACTAGTCGTTTTGAGATCATTGCTTAATATGACTCCTAAATCTTTATAGTTTCTTACTTTTGGTAGCACGAATCCACGTAGTGTATAGTCATACGATTCATCAGAGTTATTTAACTGCATTACTACACTCTTATTAGGATTTACTTCTAGTGACCACCTATCTAACCATGCCACCAATGAGCTAAGATCGTCCTGTAATACTATCCTATCCGACATACTATGTATGGGTCTCCAAATCTTTATGTCATCAGCGAAGAGTAGAACGGATGATTTTGCTACAGTTGGCAATTCATTTACATAAAGTAAAAAGAGAAGAAGACCCAGGATTGTACCTTGGGGAACCCCACTTTTTACAGGTATCCACGAGGAGAGAGTCCCATTAACCCTTACCCTTTGTCTCCTGTCATGGAGAAAGTTACTTATCCAATCGACGACTGTATAATGGATTCCAAAACGTTTCAGTTTGAATTTAAGACCAGAGTGGGAAACCTTATCAAAGGCTTTACTTAGATCTATGAAAATCACATCCACAGGAGCATTCCGATCCTTTGCCGCAGCCCAATCTTCTCGTGCAATGAGAAGATTTGTCAAGCAAGATAGGCCTTTCCGAAAACCATGTTGTTCCCTGGAGAAAAGATTTTGCCCTTCAACATAGTTTATAATAGCTATCCGAATGATTTTCTCCATCAGTTTTACAACTGCACTAGTTAAGCTAACAAGTCTATAGTTACTAACCAAATCCCTACCCCCAGTCTTATACACCGGACTTATTATGGCGTCTTTCCAGTCTCTAGGCAGTTTGGACTGTCTCAGAGACATGTCGAATAGTATCGCTAATGGTTCAGCAATTTCATCTGATATGGCTTTCATAATCCTAGGATGAATATCGTCAGGACCACTGGACTTATCAGGTTTGAGATGCTGGAGTAGTCTTAAAACAGTATCTTTCTCAATGACTACAGGATCCATCAGCGAGCCGTCACGGTCGCAACGAATCATTGGTCGTTCCTCATTACCGATAGAAAACACTTTACTAAAGTATTCCGATAAAGCTTCAGCTTTTTCGGCATCATTCTCTGCTAAGATTGAAGGATTTTCTCGTATCAAAAGTGATGGAATTCCATCACTTCTCTTAGTTCGCCTTTTTATATACGAGAATAACCGTTTCGGACTATATCTAGAATCCCTAACCAATTGTTTTTCGTATGATAGTCTAGTCTTACTTATTAACGCCTTACAGGCATTCCTAATCTTACAATAACTGGATCTGTATTGTTCTAAGCCAGTAGAGATGGACATATCCCAGTGATTCTTCCTTTTTCTAAGGAGTTTCCTGACCGTTTTAGTTATCCATGGTGGACTATTATTCGGTCTTCGCGGTACCAGGTATGGTATGAACGGGGACGTAACTAGTCTAAATTTACCTTTAAATACAGACCATGCTTCTTCAACTGATATGCTAGTATCTATTAACCAATTTGTCTTAGCAGCACATTCCTGAATGGCTGATATGTTAGCTTTCCATACATTTGGGCGAGGTGTAACCTGATCGTATAACATGTCCCTAGTACGAAACGTGAATGACAAAACAGCGTGGTCGCTGTTCACTAACGGCGGGAGAATATTGAAGTCGACAATATCCTCAGTCTCATGAGTGATTACCAAATCCAGCAGAGAAGAACCCTGGTTAACACCAAAACGTGTGGGTTGGGATACATGCTGTACTAGTGCATGCTCCATTATTGTTATCAGGAACTTACTATCAAAGGAGTTTATAGATCCTGCTGTGGTCATATCAGTCCAACTAATATCAGGTGCGTTAAAGTCTCCTATTATCAAACATCTGGTATTTTCACTCCAAAGATGAATGTGCTCTAAAACAAAGTCATCAGCTAGGCAGATTGGGCTGCGATAGATGACACCGAGCATAAATGTACTACATCCGATAGCCAACTTACAGCTAATGACTTCACAAGTACCGCTATCATGGGAATCGCTAGTAGAGGAGCGGATATTTATGCTATTAGCTATGTATAACAGGACGCCGCCTCCTTTCCTACATCTATGTCTGTCACTCCTGATGCAGTGATATCCGGATAATTCTGGAGTAATGTCTAAGTCATCGACTAACCAAGTTTCTGTCACTGCTACTATGAGTGGCTTTACCATGTCCACTAGTGCTTCTAGTTCATAGAACTTATTTCGTAGACTACGAGCGTTGGCATATAAAACTCCTAAGTAGAACAGCCTATCCACACAGGCCTTGGTAGCATTCGCTTCCAAGACCTGACTATCCGAAAACCCACTAACCGGAGATTTTCCTCGCCGTTTTGCCGACGGGTTTCAAGTTCAGCTAGTGCTTTCTTCCTTTTTATTCTATCTTCGAGAGATATGTCAGGTCTAACTCGGATGTCAGAATTGTCGTGACAACGAGCGCTACTTAACAAGAGATCCCGTTGCTTCTCCGATCCTAGGATTACCTTAAGGAGTCTGCATGGACGGGGTTCAACATTGTCCTCGGTCCTCTTGCCTATTCTTACTAACTTTTTAAGCTGAACTCCTTTGGAGTTATCTGGTAAAATACTACGAATGTATTCTCCTAGTTTTTCTAAGGCATGCGCGTGTCTAATTTTCGGATCAGGGTCATTTGACTCCCGCAAATGGCTCACAATAATATTCGATGTTATTAAATTTTTCTTCTCAGTTACGCCGGGATGGGTTTCACTCTTACGATCAGATCTTGGTAGTGCAACTTGTGGCTCACAATTTGAGTCCACCATTGAGTTACTAACTACCTGTGTACTGCTTACAGCTTTTTTCTTTTCATTTCGTTTTCTACGTACCGTAGTCCATTTTTCATCCCTAGTAACACTGGGACTATTTGGAACGGTGACTGTTTTATCCAGATCGTCGATTACCACTAAAGGTGCATGATTAACAATGTCAGTACTAGGTGGTACTACTCCCCCTATTAATATCAACGGAGATTTCACTTTTGCGTCGTTCAGAGTCGGTTTTTTGAGGCGTTGCGTAACAACACTGACACATTCGTCACTGTCAGTGCCCGTGTTGTCGGCACATATGCCATCATTCTTCTTACAGGCCAAAGCCAATAGGCTCATAGCCTCCTGTATTAGCAATGCCTTGTTGGCACAGCAAAACATGCAAAGCCAATGTGAGTTAGGCTTCGAACATCTTTTATATGCAGTTGGACTTAAACGGGTACACATTTTGTGAAACCATTTATTGCATTCGTCACACTGCATTCCCTCCTCCACAGGGAACAAGCAGTTTGGTTGTCCACATTTGTGGGTACTACCAACCATTTTAGTATGATCAAGGTGTAAAACACAATATGATCACAGTATGAACCACAAGACAACTCTAGCAAGATGTCAAACCTTAACTAAAGTACTTTGATAACGACCAAGAATGCTTCCGAGTGTAATAAATACACAAAAGCCTAAAAACTCAGTAAAATATCACCTTAACTGGGGTAGATTCAATTAAAGTGTAAATCGTAGTTTTGATACGTAATTTACAATCAAAACAATTTACTAATTTAACGAGAAACAATACCACTGTCCTTTTTAGATAGTGCTGTTCTTCTTTGTTCCGTCATAATGACTATGGAATCTGCAACGTCGAAAGCAAAGACATGAATCAAATTTAACATGTTTGTGTTATTTCACAGTAACTCAACATGGCAAAAAATAACCGTTGGTTTTATTAATTATCTAACATCTTAGGGGTCATTATAAACAAATAATAGTGAAAAATTGAAATTTCCAAGAGCTTAATTTTTTAATTCCCGTCGTACATACCCTGCTTGAAATCTTTTTGTGGCCTCTTCAACCACAGTTTATAATACTCGCTGCTTCGAATGAATACTGGACGATTCCTAGAAATCACACTATCTTCCATCGGCTGGGATTTAAGTGCTAGAACGAGTGTCATTACAAAGCATCTCTCTAGTGTCGCATACTCAAATTGAATTTTAATCCAACTCAATATTTATTGTCATTTCTATTCACATAATTACTAATAAAGACAAAGTTGTTAACAAACATATTGCATAATATACTGGGGCATTGGACATCGAAATATTGTTAGCGCGAGTATGGTTTTCGTATAGCTTTTCGTCCTTCTATTCTCTCTGAAGTTATATACACATGGCTGCTGTCTTTTTCGTTTTACATTCCTCTACGGCTATCCAAAGTCATCGATTGGTTCACTTAAAGTCAGTCAGCTTGTTACATCGCCTATACACTACAAGGCCGGAGTCATCTCAGCTTGGTGTCGCTTTTAATACTTTGCGTATTGGGGTCCCAAAGGAATCTTTCATAGATGAAAAGCGCGTTTCAGTTACCCCCCAAGTAGGTCTGTCACTTACGTTACAAATTTCGACATCTTTTTGATTATAATTATTCTTGGTTGTGTAACCCTAAAGTTACATTCGACTAAGGTCAATACAACAGTTGAAACAAAAATGATATACATTTATTTTATGTTGTGGTTTTTTTCATTAGCCTTGTGCATCAAACAGTTTGGATGCCAAAGAGTATAGATAATGACTATATATATGCATGAACATGTGTAAAATCATTTTATACTGAAATTTAAGACCATCGGTAGGGGGGGTGTTAGGCAATAAATAAATAAAATCCAGAAACTTTCAAAAAGGGCCGTGTGGTTATCCGAGTTCTGAAGAGATTACATAAGTTTCAGATCTTTTTCAAGCGAATTCCATATCCAAATGAATGCACACGTGCTTGTGCACACATAAATATAAATAAACGAATATATGATTATTAATGATCTTTTCATCTCAATTCTTAGACGTATATGGTTGTAAGCAGCTGTTGGAAAACCAGAAAACATTTTAAATTTATATTATCATACTTCACTTGTAGCTTCAACTTCATTCAAACTCGTAAAGGAAACCAGTTAAATTATATTTCATAGAATAAAGGTATTGTGTCTACTGGATGGTAGTACATTTTGTTGAAATCTCACAGTCATTTTTGAAAGGTAATTATGGGAACGTGAGATATTGTGATGACTAAAATTATTCAGATTTACCATACAAACTAGGAATTCCGGAAATACTGCAATTTACAACAAATAGAACTAATATAGGGGTTGTGGAGATTATTAAGTTTTTGATTGAGATCTTGAACCATCTTGAACATCAATTGGTTCAAGATCTCAATCAAAAACTTAATAATCTCCACAACCCCTATACTAGTAATCAACATGTGCTCACTAGTGACTAGCTTCGTAAGGTAATTCTCGGAGTTCTAGTGAGAAACCGTGACCAGTGGAGCTAATCCTTGTCGGGTAGAGACAGTTATCTACTTCAGTACAATGGAAGTTGGTCGCGCAATTTCGTGGATTGGTTGATGTTAGAAACTATCACCATTGGATGCCGGGTCAGTGGTCCTGTTGGTTAAGCGTTCCCGCACGAGACCGAAGGCCCTGGGTTGGAATCCCGCGAGCGGGATCGTGGATGCCCACTTCTGAGGAGTCCCACAATAGGACGAAACGGCCGTCCAGTGCTTCCAGGTTTTCGATTGTGATGGTCTAACATCAATTGGTTCAAGATCTCAATCAAAATAGAACTAAGTTAGCACAAATGAAGGTATTGTGTTTAGAGTTATAAACCAGGCAGACACAAAATACGAAATACGAAGGAAGAAAATAGGCATCTGCCCCATACTCAGTAACATAATCTTGGACTATACCTGAAGTTCCTGCCTGTGCAAACTTCATATCTAAGCAAACTAGTCCTCCAACTGCTTCAGGAAAATTTTCTATTCCCTCTGACTCATCTTATCACTGACTACGGATTCTACTCAACAGACATTGTTTGTGAGAATATCCAACATCTGATACAATAACATCAGCAGTGTGATTAGAATTCGACTCATTTGAAACACATTTGTCACATTCATTAGGGATATTATCAGAGATAAATTCATTGTGAAAACAAATAACATCTGATACGAGACTATAAGGACTGTAATCAGATTTTAACTCATTTAGAACTTTTTCCTCACATTTGATTATTATTTCATTAGAAACAAATGGAAAAACCACATCTGATAAAATAATATTAGAATTTTGATCAGGATTAAGTACATTCGATATATCTTCATCAGAAATACATGAGTTATTAAAACAACGCATATGTGGTTAAATGTTACCATGAATCTGATCAGAGTATGATTCCTTTGGAACGTTCAACTAATTAGGATCAAAATTACAAAGTTTATCACTACTTGCAGCGAAATAAACAGTAGTTTTACAAACTGCCTGTAGGTGTCCAATTTTACCACATTTAGAACATTTGGCATTACGCAATACACATAAATTACATGAGTAAATTTGCCACAGTACGAAAATTTACAAAACTTGTGCTCATTTTCGAGACCTGCTTCGCAACTGTTCAATGAATTGTTATCTGCATAACCTTGTGATTGTGATGACGTAGTAATGTAATTGGGTTCTTCATGTCTTGACGAATCATTTTATAAAATTTTTCTTCTTTACAACATTCGGAATTTGTACTTTTTAGATGGTCTAGTAGTAGTTGCTTGAGAGCTGCATAAAAAGGTGAAATAGGCTTTTCTAGAAATGCCCGTTTTTAATTAGCTATAGGCTTCTTTCCCGATTAATATAAGGAAATGAACCACAATATCAGCATCCTCGACGTCTTCCTTAGTTAGTACTTAGATTTTGAACCTTTCTATATGATCCTCAAAAGCATTACAGTTTGAACGTACGTCCAACTGTTCCATGACAGGCTTCATCGCGATGCCATTGTGTAGTTTGGAAGTATTCGACTTATAATATGAACAACGAATCCCCGAAATAGTGTAATTTACAGCAAATAAAACTAGGTGAGCACAGATGAAGGGATTGTATTTATAATCCAAAATCATACAGACATCACGTACAGAGGAATCATTAGTTCATACAAAAACAACACAGATATGCATCAAGTCTTAATTATTACTAAGTAGGTTTACGTCTAGCCTTTCGGATAATTCACTCATATCTTACATTTCATACATCTTACACTTTAAGCCATCATTTCACACCCTGTTGTACTTAAAAATCCTGATTGAAATGTTTGACAATGCAATAAATTTGATTGTATGTTGTTTTGAAAACGTATAAGCAGTATAATATGTTCATGAGATCAAACAGAATATTTTTCATTTACTCTGAAGAAAAGACTTGAACTAAGTCACGAAACGCTAGAAATACAATTTTTTACCCACTGGGATATGAAAAAAACATATTTATGACAAAAAGTTTTAGGTTATATCATGATTTCAACTTGTGATATATCATAAGTATAAAAACATGCTGTAACGATCATGGCAACGAAAGACCAAAAGTCTCATTGGAAAAGATGGATGAATTTTTTTACGTATTTGCAGCTGGATTTAATCTATCTCACTCAATATCTCTAACAAGTAATCATCACAATGACATCGACTCCAACTAAGCAATTTGCATGTGCTAACACTTCCAGATCAAACAGTTAGTGACTTCATTTACTGATGCCGTTTCGTAGTAGGTGATGGTTGGGGATACAAAATACACGTCTCAATCATTTAGGTTGGTGAGAATTCGTTACCTCATCAGCTAGTTTCCTGTCATTGCCTAATATTTTTCGTTCAACCTCAGGATTTCTTACTTTATAGTTTCTTCATTCGTGGGCAATGGTCGAAAGGAGTTTATGCCCAAATATTAATAATCCGAAAATATGTTCCATTTTTAAAGACTATGTTTCCCAAACAACGTAGCAAATAACAAACTGTTGGGAAGTACACATACCTCTTGGTCAGCAAACATATTTTTCCTGCGCCACAAATGTTGAAAGTTGACAAAAATCAACTAAGTGCTCTAAACGCATGTCGAGGATTTGTCAAATACAAACTCACTTAGATTGATGCAAACTTTAGCCTTCCCAACTTCAGTAAGGGCCGAGGGCTAATTTTTATGTCCTATTCAGGTAGTACATGGATACATGATTCTTTTGGATCTAAGATAAGTCCTGATATTTTGTCAAAAGAAGTGTCTGTTTATTCTTTCGTTTCACCCGTTTTTAACGTCTTTGGTTATCTTTTATTACTATTATTATTATTACAACTTTACAGACTGCCAACCTGTTTTCAAAATGTGGCTTCAACGTTTTCGTTCAAACTGGTGCCGGCGTTAATTCTAATTTCTTAGATTCGGATTATATAAAGGCTGGGGCTAAAATAATCACAGACAGTGAAGAAAGTTTGTATAATCAAAGTGACATTATCTTGAAAATACAACCACCTACGCTGGACTCACTCCCTAACCTATCAGATGAAGTCAGTATGCTGAGACCTAACAGCACATTAATTAGTTTGATTTACCCTGCCAAAAATCAAGTAAATTTCATTAAATCATTTATTTTGTATGCTGTCGAGTGAAGGTGATTTGTTATGAACTATTGCATTCATTCATCTCTAAAAGCTATTTTTATCACGTTCATCATCCCAGTTTTTTCACTTTCTCGCTTTTTTCCAAAAAAGAAAAATTATGTCAAATTTAGAATTAAGGTAGATGAGCACAATTACCGATTTCCGAGCATGCGCTGTTTTTTAAACCCAACAATGTTTACTGCCAAATGACAGATGATTTCAACAGGTTGTAGACTAAGTTTTTTATTTGTAATTAGTTGCTTTTCTTGCTCAAATGGCTTAGTAATGTCAGGGGTGAAGAGAGTCTGCTCTTCCTGCCAAACTGGCCTCACACATTCATGTTTTTGTATGCTCTTCGGTGAATGTCACATCCAATGTTTTCATGTGACGGGGTGCCTTTCAAAAAAGTTAAAGGGGAGAAAGCAAATGTTTATCACCTTAATCGAGCTGTTGGATGTAGAGGGTTCTCCTAGAGAGAAGGAGTAGGAAACCATCTATTATGGTTAAGTAGTCCAACAGAAAGTTTGAGAGAATGTCCAACAGCATGTGATCAAAAATAAACCAAAACTTCTGCAGGTCTTTAATTTAACGATGTTGACTGGAAAAAATTAGCTTGTTTTGTGAATAGAGCTCGATGTTTAATAGAGTTGGCCTACTACCTATTGTTATGATAGTTGTATACATTCTGCATACTGTATTATTGTGCTTAATTAAGTGAACAAATTTCTGTGAGAACAGTGTAAATTATCATGAAAAAAACAATACAGACTGTCCTCTTATTTTCTATAAATCTATAACAACTACATGTAAATTAATTTCGATGCATAGTAGTATCATTGTTTGACAATTATTTATAATTAATACATTTTCACTCTGATTGGTTATAGTTTGAATTGTCAACTTATGGCTTTCTGATTGATTTTTTTCACTTAATCTCTATCTTTTCGTGTTTTTCCAGTCGTTAATTGACGCACTAAGTAAGAAAAAGGTGAATTTATTAGCTCTTGACTGTATACCACGGATAAGTCGGGCACAATCATTTGATGTCTTGTCTTCAATGGCTAACATCTCCGGGTATAAAGGTGTAATTGAGGCTGCTGGATTGTTCAATCGATTTTTCGCAGGTAGTACTAGTGAATTGTTGACATACTATTGTGGTTTTTAAGATTGGTTGTTTTTGGAAATGATGGCTAGCGGTGGAATCAAGGACTCCCGCTTCGTCCTAATTGGGACTCAGCTGAATTTAATCACATCCTGGATTTGATATTCACTCCGGGACTCGAACCTAGCACCGTCCGCTTCAAATGCCGCTGGGTTATCCACTGAGCTATTTAGTCCAGTTGGCCACTAGCTTGTACAATGGGGTGAAGTTAAATTCATTTCTGTATTGGTTGCTTGAATCTTCCCATTGATAATTAGGACAGTAATTGATCAGTCTCTTGTCCACATATGTGGATACTGTGCGGATCGCCTCAATATTATTTTCAGCTACAATTATTGTAAGCTGAGATGATGGTGGTTGATCAGCAGTGGAATCGATTGCAGTCCTAAACATCAATCGGAAAATTCAATCAACCAACACAAAAATGAATCAATGTTTGTTGTTTTGATTGAGTTACAAGTCTAAGCTCTTAAGCCTTTAAACTATTATCAGAATAGGGATTTGTGAAGATTGTAGTAACTTTGATGGTTGAATTCATCAATCAATCACCATTGAAAACCTGGTATTACTAGGCGGCCGTTTCTTCCTAGTATTGAACTCCATAGCAGTGTAGGACGGTGGATGCACATTGATGAAAAGTTCCATACTGGGACAAAACGGAAATAAGGCCGTTTGCAACTATTCAGTTTAGTTCTCTAAGTATATGTCTTTGAGTATTTAAACCGCAAAACGAACTATTGAGTTTCTCTGAATGTATGCTAGTCAATCTGGTATGTGAATTAATCTTAAGGTATATTTTTATACACGTAGTACAGACTTTGATCTTAATTTATATTAAATATTACGAAAATAATTGGTTGAAATTATGTAGAAACAAATCCAAGATCTTTCATAGTTAATCTCCTAAACAATTTCGTGACTATAAATTCTCAGATCATTTGTTATCGGTATGTAAGTGCAGTTTTAGACGTTAATATACTTCCAAACATTTTGATCGATTCATGTAAGAATTGAAATCAAAGGAGATAAAATCGTCACTACGTTTTATTTCGAAATCTTTATCAATATTTAAACATGGCGAGTGTGACAAAGGTTCCAATAACTTTAGCATAACATGGACTAGTAAAACGTATGATCAAAAAGTAGATTTTCACTTATAATAGAATAAATCTGAAGGTTGAGAGAAATACTACCTAAACATGTATACCATACAAACATAATTTACTTTTTCATGAAATAAAATTTGGTGAAATTTTGGTTTGTTAATGACAAACGACAATCTTTCAAGTTATGAATATCTCCATTTAATGTTCATATCGTTTGTTTTCCTCCTTGTTATCATTCGATCTTGGTGTTCAGGAACCATTAGATCTGTTTTAATTAGCGTATTTCTTGAATTCATAATTTTATGGATGATATTATATTTGTTTACACTTCCTTTTTCATCCGATTGTGAATTCTGTTTTCTAGTTATTTCCTTCTAAAGGCTATTTTTCAATCTGTGATCTGCTTATTTTCATACTATCAATATTATTCTAGGAAAAACTAAAGGCTCGTAAGTACGTTGCGAAGATGAAGTAGTTCATTTTTCGAATATTTATTCCTATGTAAAATATTTGAGTGTCAAATGAAAACTTTTTCAGCTAAGTCTCTCATCCTAAACGTTAGATACATTTTTCTCTTATTTACATTATTCATGTTGTCCTTCCATTGATAATTCTGAAGCATAAATCTGTTGGGGATGTGTAATATCCAAATAAAATTTATGAGCTAAAAAATAATTATCAATGAAGACAAATTTCATTTACATTAGATTATCGAATATGAACTCTTCTCATACACTTTCGATTTATTTCTAAAATGATATAAATTCTAATCATTGTAATTGGGATGTAATTGGTTAACTTTACTTTTTCACTTACACTGGGGCCGTCAAGAATAGAGCTTCCATTACCAAACTGTTTCTTTGTCTGGTTAACTATGTCTACAAGAAGAGGCTAGAGGTAGTCGCTAACACTATATAGAAGTTGAATTTGCGAAATGTTAGCATAGCTCATGAATGCATCAGAACAACGACATATATATTTCAGGTCTCACAATAAACGTGGTTTCATATAATGAGCTAGTTCGTTCTCATTGGTTCATAGCTTTCAACTTCATTACATAATGCAGTTGTATGGTATCGTTAATCAACGTCTTCCCTACTTCTGATATGGTTGATTTGGCAGACTAAAATCTTGATCAAAACTACCTCAGAATAAAACAAAACCATTTATCTAAATATGTAGTGGTAGATTTTAGTACAAAAAACGACTAATTATATTCATTTATTATTCGAAATGTCATGATAATCTTATATATGTTGGATTTCAGGTCAGATTACAGCTGCTGGTAGGATTCTACCTGCAAAAGTATTAGTTATTGGTGGCGGTGTAGCAGGTTTATCAGCTGTTAGTACAGCAAAAAGTCTTGGTGCTATTGTACGAGCTTTTGATACACGTGAAGCAGTTCGTGAACAAGTTGAATCATTTGGTGCAGAATTTTTAACTGTAAATATACAAGTAAGCTGTAAACCATTAAAACTTATTGATATGAATCTTAAATTAATAATAAATTATTTTAATTTGACCCAGACATGGGTTAAAATGTTTATCAAGTCTATATTGTCTAGGTTTTTTGAAAATTCTCTTATTAAGTTAGAACATATATAGAAAGAGTGATAGTATTTTACTTTGCTCGTATTTATCAAACGATATATGCATAAAATGAAGATATTAAAACCTTTAAACTATCATATGGAATTCAATATAATAATCAGTTGTAACTATTACTTATAATGGAAACATTTATCATGCCTAAGTATGATCAGTATTATAAAAGTTGAATACTATACCTTTTGGTATATTTTCATTTTGGTTTGAAGTGTATACTACATGTATATTTTAATTTGTTCATAGAAATAATCTTCCAGATGGTAACGAAATTAAACATTCAGAATTTGAGCATTTCTCTTTCAGATAATTTCATGAACAATTTAAATGTAATTCACTTTTATGAACAATCCATACAAAATTTGTTATCAAATCCAGTGTTTACGTTGATGAACAGAAAGAAAAAATATATGAAATTTACGAACTACAGTCTAAGTCAAATTTTTTCTACTTTAGTCTATCATTAGTAAATCACTAGAAATTTCTCAACACAACAAAATTCTTAGTAACTGAATTAAAAGATTTAGTTCGTAAATTCTCATTATATTTAACTAATGGAATTTAGCTTTCATGAATAATATTGATAGGCAGTTAGTTAAAAAGTTACATAGAACTTAGGATAAATATCCATTAGGTCAAGATACCGTACCAAGTTAGTTCAACCTGATGGCATTAAGAGTACTGTTGAAATAATATATAATGATAGTGAGAGAGACTAAGCATTGAGATTATGGTTCGTAAAGACAGCTCTTGTCAGCAAGATGTACTGGTAGTCTTGATGGAGCTGATGCTTCCTGGCGGATTCGAATCCTTGTAAACCAGTTTTATAGTCAGGAAATCTATCACGGGACTACCCAGGCCACGATTGACCATCTATGAAACTGAAATTTATTTACTACTGATTGATCACTGAGTAGTGACCGATGTCGTCCATTCAGAATTGTTCCTAGTAACTCTTATCGGTCGATAGTTTATGATCAGCATTAAAGGAGGACTGGACATACATAATATATGGTCTATTGAGTAATGATGATTACTCTTTCTTGTTTATGTTATTAAAGTAGATCGTTTCATTGTTTACTTTGACTAGAGACATTGTTATTATTTTATTAGTCAGTAGTATCTTCATGTATGAAGTACAGTCCATGTATCTTTTTTCCAAATACTTTACTCAGGAGTCCGGGGAAGGAGGAGGTGGATATGCTAAAGAAATGTCTCAAAAATATCTTGAAGCAGAAATGGAATTATTCGCAAAACAAGCCAAAGAAGTAGACATCATTATTACCAGTGCTTTAATCCCAGGAAAACCAGCGCCAAAACTTATAACTAAGGTAAGTGTTTTACACTAACGTCCACTTCACATATGTCTTGGAGTCATTTAGTCAGTTATCAGTGAGGAAAATACCTAGAAAGATTTGTTGATGTGTATGAGTACTTTTTCTTTTTATTCACACTGTCCATGAATGGTTTTTCATAGTGCCTATTTCCTACTACTAAATATAGTTAACAGTGCTGTTACTACTTGAAATTTGGAGACTATTTTGTTCACTCTTTTTCTAACTTGGATTGAATTCATTAGGCTTATTGGTTTTTATATTTATCTTTCTACAAAACAAATTGTATTTATTGTTTAGGCTATGGTAGAATCAATGCGTCCGGGGTCAGTTATTGTCGACTTGGCTTCAGAGGCTGGAGGAAATGTAGAAACAACAGTACCAGGCAAATTAACATATCATCATAATGTTGCTCATATTGGTTATACTGATCTACCCAGTCGATTACCAGGTCAAGCATCAACTTTATTTTCAAATAATGTAGCAAACTACCTATTATCCATGACTCCTCCTGGTAAGTTATGCTGATTAATTTAAACTACTCTAATTGTTCATTCAATCTTTTGTTATAAAATTGAGATACATGCTGTCACATAGCAGTGTATGTATCCATAAATTTTCTGTTGACGGTAGAGAGAATTTAACAAAGATGTCAGAAGACTAAAATCAATCTAATTAGTGTTTGTTGTATATCGGTTGACAGAATTAAATTATTTATGGTTGTCACTTCTCAAGAACTACTATTTTTCCATTTCATTTTTTGGCTGACTCACAGTGTTTAGTAGCGATAGTCATGTTAGAAGTTAACTGATAAAATTTAGGATATCTTGAAATCTCTTAATCAATAGGTATTTTTATGGTTTTGGATTTATCAATTGATCCTCAGTGAGTTCGTTTGCATGATCATTTCGTTAAGGTGTAGTTAGTATAAGTTTTAAGTATGTGAATTACCTTATTTGTATGTACATGCATTTTCTCGATAAACTGGCAGCTCAGATAATCTCAGGATTGAAAAAGAATTATTATTCAACGGTTGTTAAGATCGTTCAATTTTTATTCGTCCAGGTTAGCTACTCAGTTAGTGATGAATGAGGTATTCGATTGGTTGACTCAAATCAAACTACTAACACTTCTTCTGTTATGTCTATGATTTTAGCATGAACGTTCTTAAACAGAATTGACTGAATTGGATGAATTATTTGGGGTGGTAAGCACAATATTGTTAGATATGAAGAACATAAGTTTACGAAGTTTTTGACTGTTAGTAAGTAGTTCTCATTAGTCTATAGTTAGAGTTTAAATTATGGGCGATGTTTTATCTTGTAGTGATGTTATTTAGGCAAGAAAAATGACGTAAATTTAGCTAATTAAAGAATATTATTTTCATTCTATTATTTACCTGATTGACTTATTCGCATCTGTTTTAGGATCGAAAGACCGATTTTATCTTAACTTAGAAGATGATGTAATTCGTGATAGCCTTATATTATATAATGTGAGTTTTATATATAATTTATTCGCTAATCAAAAAGTCTATAATTTTATTGCTAACTGTTTACTTGTGTTCACGGTGTATGTGTTCATTCACCAACGTTAAATCCTTTCTTTTTTTTATCTGGAAAATTCTATGAGCTACTCAGTACTATAAATTTTAGTGAAGATATAACGAAGATGTAATTTCATTGAAATTTACATAATTAATTCAATAATTTTCCGTAAATTGGCTTTTTACTACTAGTTCTTTAATTAATTTTTACCATAAAGTTTTTATCTGATTAAACTTCTTCATTATTTCGATTTAAATACTTGATGTAACGGTTAAATCCTTATAATAATAATAATAATGATAATATCAATAGTTGAAATCATGAGTTAATTGAATCTAGACCATCATGGAAAACTTGGAAGCACTGGATGGTCGTTTCATTCTAGTATGGGACTCCTCGGCAGTGAACACCTACGATCCCACCCCTTGCGAGATTCGGATCAAGGACTTATCAGTGGATGCGCACTGCTGAGGAGTCCCATACTAGGATGAAACAACCGTATGGTGCTTCCAGATTTTCCATGGTGGTCTAGCTTCAATTAACTCGTGATTTCAACTATTGAAATTACTCAAATTTCCACAAAACCTCTTCTGATAATAATGGTAATAATTGGGGTTTTCTGTTGTTGTATGATACGTATGAATTAATGAACAGGTGAGCTAATTTCATATAAACAGTTCTATTGTAGACACAATTTCTACATTGTTCCTTGGTATATGCTTCTAAAATTGTTGATAACGGTAGATGGCATACAGTAATTAACCGCTAATAGGGTAAAAGTTTTGGAATACATTACTATTTAAAAATACAAAAATTATGTTACAACTCAGTGTAGTCAATAATGAAAGCATGACCTTCAAGCATACTGAAGTTTACTGTTTGTAGTAAGAATCTAAGATTATTAGCGAAAACCAATAAATCCTGTGATTTTTGTTTAGCAGAACGATTATGATATTCTTCTTGTATAATGTGAGATCTATATGAACTAGATAGATGAAGCGACTAATACATAAACGTACTTGATTATTGATGGTTCACATATAAATACTAGAAAATCCTTTTGAAATAATTATGTTAACTAAATGTATCAACATCACCTTTTATATTGCGTGAAATAACGAAAGTAACCAACAGCTAAAAACAGAGACAGTTAATAATAAAAGGCCAAAGGTCATATGAGAAATATTCATTTGGTAAAAAGATACTCTTAGTTACCATTAATAGTAAGACTAGAATTAATATAACGAAAAATTGAGTGATAACGTGAGACCACCTTGACAGTAGCACTATTGATATTGATCAGATGTCTTCTTAATCAATTTAGTAATCGGAATCCAATGCACTACATAAACAAAAGTGAGAATTTCTTTTCAAAATTCATGTGTTTCGACTTTGTGAACATCATGACTTTATATGTAATCATTCATCATAGGTTATTACCTTTTTTCCTTATTTTGGTATAACACTGAAGGCTTATTAATTCTTATGGGGATATATTTTATTGTCCTTAGATGTTATTTAATGTGGATGACCTTTGAACGACTCTAGACTGAACTTGGGAGTATCCATCTGATAACTAGAACCAAATGAGGGCTACAAATTTGTGTTACGAATGTGAATTATAATTTACAGTTGATGTTTAATGTTAAGAATTAGATTTAAGGTTTTCATCACGAAATGACATCAGGCATAATGCCAAAACTCTATTTAGCCAAATGGTTGAGTGAATTTCGCGCCAAAATCCGATACCTGTTATCTTAAAGCTGATTGGTTCGTCCATAAATTATAGTCTCGCCACCGGTATTTCACATCAATCGTTAATTGTTAACGACAATTATTGTATATTGAGTTAGATTATCAACTTCACTTTTTTTAATAACTTTTCAATCTTGTTTCAAAACATTAAAAAAGTTACTTCCACCTGTATTTATCATTACTACTATCACATCCATGTGGTGCATTGTATTTTTGATCAAGGGAGAACTTATGTGGCCTCCACCTGTACGTTCTCAACCGACATCAGCATCAAAACTAATTAATAGTAAACAATTAAGTAAAGCTGGAAGCAGTATAACATTGCAATCTGAAGATTCCTCATCTGTTTTTAAAAATAAACTTCGTTCTGCTATATCGACGTCGGTTTGCTTAAGTGGTTTAGTTGGTCTGGGTCTATATTCACCTTCTCCAGCATTTACCACTATGTTAACAACATTTGGCCTTTCGAGTATTGTAGGTAAGTAATTTGTGTTCAATATTTTATTTATTAATAATACTTCGTGCAAAAAGATAAATAATTGACAGAATTTTGGTAAACTCCGTATGATAGACATTAAAAGCATATGATTTGGTTGTTCACATCTTCAAACCCTTATCTTTCGGATTACTCCTTATACTCTTACTACCTCTACCACTACAGGATTTGAATAGATAACTGCATCTCTGTGCTAATGTGGTATGGCAACTCGAACTGATGTACGTACGTACGAAGTTCTATGTTGTTTCTGACTGACTGACTGACTCAAATGCTCGTTTATCGTGTGGAAATAGGTTGGAATACAGTTACAGATAATGTAACCAAAACATGGCACCAACCCATAAAACTATTAGTCTGTTGCTTTGAGTCATGTTAGTAAATGTAGGTGTCCACGCCACAATCGTGATCATTGGTTGTTTGTGACATCACTCAAAATCATTTATAATGGTAGAAACATATTAACTGCCTACTTACTTATTCCAGTTACCCCTCGTTGAACATAGCGCAGGATCCTTCAACCAACTGTGTCCTGCATCGTCTTTTTCAGTTGTTGCCAACTTCTGTTTATTCTTTTAATGCTTGCCACTGATTTTCAGTACAACGTGTTCTTTGGTCTCACTCTTTTCATTTTATCGTGAGGACTTCAAGTTAAAGCTTGATTTGTGGTGCAGTTTGATGATTTCCGTCAAATGCTATATATCCACCTTCAGTGCCTTTTCCGAATTTCCTCAACTGGAAATCGGTTTGTTCTTTGCCATAACAGGTTATTGCTGATGGTTACTGGTCAATAGATCTGGAGTGTCTTCCTTAGAAAACTGTTTATAAGTACCTGTACTTGTTTGGTGATGGTTGTAGTAGTTCTCCAAGATTCAGCTCTGTACAATCGAACTATATTAATGTTTGTATTGAAAATTATTACTGTGTTGTTGACTGACAGTTGTTCGGAGTTCCTAATGTTCTTTGATTGCAAACATTTTACCCTGGTTTTACCTATCCGTTCATAACGTTTCTTTATTTTAATCTTGAGTTTCAGTATTCCGTCGTATATGCTTTTACATTCTGTCATTTGGAGCAATGTTACCAACGTTTAATATTTTTTATTGTCATTGCTACTAAGTTATTTTGAATACCTTTTGCTATCCATGTTTATAATTTGATCCGGTTGTGTCAATCTTATAAAAACTTTGACTAAGGTACTTTTTATCACGTTGTATACTGAATATATTAATAGTTATAATTATTATTAATGGCATTATTCAATATTATATTCTTGATACAATATAAGGTTCTCGGCGAAAGGTATTTCAACAAGTTTTCCTTTTCTTATTTCTTGATCAATCCCCACGATAAAAACTGAGTGGTCACCAGTCACATTTAAGTAATTCAGGAATCAACATCTGAATCATGTTCATTCAAATCCATGCATTTTGTACTCCACCATGATGTCTCTGATTGTATCTTGATGTAACTTTTACAGTGAAATGTTGTAAACGTTATGCGATTAATAGACATGATGGTGTGTTAAAACAAACACAAATATATAACTTGTTTGAAATATTTAGGTGGCAGGAATAGGTAGCCAAGATGCTCAATTTGGCCGCTGTTCAATATGCTTGACTGATATTTTTTCATTTTATTTATCCTGTTTCCTACACATAGTTTTATGTTTTCACTGTCATTTATTTTCCTGATGATTCCCATTTTGTGTAGTGTACCAAAGAATATTAAATTGATACAGCTGTATTTCGAATTCTTTCTGTCACCAGTTTGGTTCATAATATCTAGTTTTTTACTTGAGTTTACCACTAAATTTTCTCTAGCTATTGTAATTATTTCCCTAGATTAATTGATAATAAATCTTTTTCTATCAATTATTTAGGTTATCATACAGTCTGGGGAGTAACTCCAGCACTTCATTCTCCACTGATGTCTGTTACTAATGCTATCTCCGGTATTACAGCCGTTGGAGGTTTGCTTCTAATGGGTGGTGGTTTCTATCCATCCAGTGTGCCTGAGAGTTTAGCAGCATCAGCTACTCTTTTGTCAGCGATCAATATTGGTGGCGGTTTTGTTGTTACTCAAAGAATGTTGAATATGTTCAAACGTCCCACTGACTTACCAGAATATAATTATTTACTTACCATTCCAGCTGCTGGATCATTAGGCGTTTATGGATATGCTATTTTAACTCTACCTCCATCATTATTAACTGATATGCATCAAACTACATACTTAGCCTCTTCACTTTGTTGCATTGGTGCATTGACTGCTTTATCTAGTCAAAAACGTTGTCGTGTTGGTATGTTTTTTTCTTCCATGTTAAAATTAAATTCTGATTACTAAAGAATTATGGAATTTAAGGAATCGTTATCTTTCAATTATTGTTAGGCTTTTAATAACCATAATTGTCGTAGCTTTCTAGAAATTTTATAGTAAATTTTAGAATCATTTACATTGTTAGTATTCACTTAGATGTTATTTAGAAAAGTTTTGTATTCATGATTGACTCAATTCAAAATCAGTCAATATTGGATAATAATTATTGTTATAATCTCTTTCTTACGGTTATAACCCAGCTATTCCTATTGCTTAGTATTCTCGGACAAGTCCCCAAATCAGAACACGGTTGAACAGAAAAGAGATTATATTCCAAATAACGAGGTTAGACTGAAGTAAGAAGCAATTAAGAAGCACAATAGGAAAAACGTTAGTATATTTATAATTTTTACACGAGAAGATTCTAGAGTGTTCTCCAAGTATCGACTAATGCTGATTGGACAAGAATTAGTCAATCAGCATGCACCAAAGCAATCGTGCATTGAGCATGCTTTAATCCAGTCTATGTCCCGCTAACAATTATGATCTATTCTAAAATTCTTCAGTAACTTACATTTTAATTCTTTAAAAATAAAGTGAATTCTCCCATGCTTCTTAATTCTGATGTTTTGTTGGTTTTAAGAAAATGCAATTTGCATGTTAGTTATCAATCAATTTAAGAAATTGATTACAAAAAGGGTAGATTTTGTAATTTATTCTAAATAAATACATATCAAACTGTTACGTAAGTATTTGTAACTGTTTTCTTTTTTCGTTTGATATTGATCAGTATACAAATTAGATATCTAAAGAAAAACATCTTTATGTCAAAGTGTAATTGTAAAAAAAAAAGAAAGAAGACTGTATTCTCTATCGCAAGTTTAACTGTGTATCGTAGAAATCTATTTAATTCCTTAACTACCATAGGGGTCTTTAGTAATTTTTTTAATAAAAAAATGAGAGGGGTCCATTCATTGATTCTTTTTAATAAATCCATGAGATTCTTTCGTTTTTTTTCTCTTCAAAATGATAACAATTTAATTTTTAAATTCTATCCGTTTATATGAAATTATGAACTTGAGTTTAGTCATGAAAACAGAGTTGGAACCTGTCATGACCTTGGATGTCTAGGTTTTTCTATCACGCGACCTATCTACCAATCCGGATACTACTTATACGAATCTTCACACTAGGCCAACCAATGACGTTCAACCGGTGTGGGCAGTCTAGCGTCCTTATTGGTCCTATGTCCTTCGAGCCCTTCCACTTGAGTCCAGAACACAATACCAGCTTCGAATCAGAGCAGATCGTTTACTTCAAACATACTCGGTTTATATATCAAACAGACAGACCACAACGCACCATAAATTAGAAAATAATATGTGTACACAAATAAGCCAAAAAGTGGCTGTGGACGAGGGAGATAATAATTAATAGACTGAACATAGTTTAAGAACCGTAAATCATATAATAATCAATTAAAGGTCAAAATAAAGCTTATAATAAGAGGACTATAAATATACATGATCTAATTGTTGAATAATTACACAATAAAAATATTTATAGAATATTGTTCTATTAACAGTCCTCGGGAGTTACCTGTAATTTAATCTTCGCTCGGACATAACAGAACCTTCCAAATTAGTATGATTCTTGTTGTGTGTTTTTTGTGTGTGGTGAATCTTCATTTAGTGCCGATTCATTTCTACTTTTTGAATAGATTTCATACGAATTATGCTTTTATAATGATTATGATTATAGAGATTGGTTTAATTGATATGAAGAACGAAATTTCAATTGTTGAAATGAATGGAAAGAATCCTGTTCTATAAATGAGAACTCGGTTGTATGAATTATGACCGAGTAATAGGTTTACATGATAATGCTTTATTGAATTAAGCACTTAAATGATTTTAAATAAAAGTACTAAGATCAATAGACTGGTAAAAAAATGTTTTTTTTTAATACAGTAGGACGATATTCACTTGATATTATTTTTACTTGAATTTTCCCATTGATGTTTTAGGACTGAAATTGATCAGTCTCTTATTGGCACATATGTCAACAATATCAAGTGAATTAAACTTCACCCCATTGCACAAGCAAGTGGTTATCAGGACTCAGTAGCTAAGTGGATAACGCGATGGCGTTTGAAGCGAACGGTACTGAGTTCGAGTCCCAGAGTGAACATCACCTCTAAGATGCAGGTACACCCAGCTGAAGAGTTCCAAACAGGACGAAAACGTGCGTCCTGGATTCCACTGCTAGCCACTATCCATCTTTGCTTATAGTAGGACGATATGTTTATACATAAAATGTTAACATAGAATAAACATGGTAAAATATCATAAGGGATTGAAGGAAATCAGTTTATGGATCATACTCTCTAATCAGTAAAGGGGGAGATCTGATTGTTATGACTAATTGTTAGTCATCGTATCAGTTATCACTTTGTCAACCTAATTAGGTTTTATTTTAGTTAACTTATGTATATGTTTTGTTGTTTTTCTAGGTAATGCTTTGGGTATGATTGGTGTAACAAGTGGACTAATATCTACTCTAGGACTTATACAGCCAAATTTAGAATTACTTACTCAAATGGGAGCATGTTTAACTGGTGGATCATTAATAGGTTCCATTGCTGCTAAACGTATTCAAGTGACAGATTTACCACAGATGGTTGCTTTATTTCATAGGTAATTTAATATTTAGACATAATTTTTGAAATAATTACAAATGATAATTCTTTAGAAATACAAATCTAATCTAATGGATTACCAACTAATTTAGGTGCATTCAATTATTTGTGTAACTGTGATTAATCTAAAACATTTAGTTTAATTATCTAGAACTTATGCACGCATAAGAGAGATAAATGTTCATTTAAGTTGGCTCGTAAGTATCATACAATTATCAGAATGGGTTTTGTGGAGAATTTACGAAATTTCACAGGTTTTTAAATCATGAGTCAGTTGAAGCTAGACCACCATTGAAAACCTGGAAGCACTGGACGGCCGTTTCGTCCTGGTATGGGACTCCTCAGCAGTGCGCATCCACGATCCCGCACCACGCGGGGCTCGAACCCAGGACCTACCATACAATTACTCGATAAAAATGTTAAATTATGTTTTAAACTATGATTATGTTCAGTGTGAAACAATGAAATTTGATCTGGAAATTTTTGTGTATAGTAGGTTAGCACAAGTTGATTTCTTTATCTTCATCTCATCTGATTAGTGTTATCATTTTGATCTCCAACATCTGGTGAATAATAATACCTCGTCATGATCATAATTAATGTTGACAGAATTGTGGAATAAGTGGTAATCGATTTTCTGTAGTACTTTATCTTGTGATGGCTGGTACTATTTCAAGCACACATAGGTTATTCTAGCTTGTCGATAGATCGATTTATTCTTTATTCTCAAGCGACATTTGAATATTATTGACTATTTGGTTATTAACTCTGTTTTTGTATTATCGTATATATGTCAATTGCTCACTCGATATCCATTACGTGTCTATAACTTCTTTTTGGTCTGTGAAGTTTAAACATTTTATTTTAATATTGGAATGTTACAGTCTAGTCGGTGCCGCTGCTGTACTTACATGTATTGCAAACTATATGGTTGAAATGCCTCATTTAATTTTGGATCCGAATTGCTATGGTGCATTACAACTTATGAAAACGGTGGCATATTTAGGCACATATATTGGAGGCATTACATTAACTGGATCATTGATTGCTTTTGGTAAACTGCAAGGTTAGTGATATTGTTTTTCAGTAATTATGAAGTTCCTAAATTGAAAATGGAAGTAGGTCAGAAAATGCAATTTCAGTAACAGGTTTGATTTATATTTCATCCATTACTGTAAGTTTGTTTATGTTTTCATTCAATCTGGGTGACTACCATTACAAAATAATGTTTAACGAGCCATTGTGACTTGTGCAAGCCAGTTGGAAAATAATGTGAAACCTGGTACATATATGGATCAGTTAAAGTTGCCACAATTCATCCGCACAATGAGATCAATTTTTCTCAATAAATGCCGTAGTAGCAACGGTTGTAATATGGTGTATTTTCCTTATATTTGCAGATATAATTAGTATGTAACACCGATCTGAAGTGTCATATCTGTGAGTAGACGGTTGAGGAGACTAAAATGAAGAGAGAAGGAAATTGATAGCAAACAAGATAACAACAAGAATGAGGGGACAATCAAGCTTGTAAGAGACTATTCAAAGATGTTCAAATGATGTATTTGATGTACAATTTACACATTTTACTAGAACACTGTGTAATTGTGCATGAAACAATAAATTGGTTTTTCTTTACTTTAGTAAGAGTGTCGGTAGTAGTGGTAGAAGGAAAATAATGGACAGAGTTATGAAAATAAGCTTGTATAATAATGCCGTGTTTGTAATCGGAGTATTAGAGAGTTCTTTTGAACTATCTAGTTTTGCACTGTTTATCATTCACTTGACTTGTGCTACAATATTAGACGACATATTTGCAAGATATTTAACGATATACATCGATTAATTTGAGATATTTGATTGTTTATGGTTAGAAAAACGGGTTGCGACAATTCTCGTTGGAAAGTTTTGTATTAAAATAAGAGAAATTTATTGTTAAATCAATCATTAAAATATTTTCATCTATTTACATTTCTTTTTATTGTTCTCGGAGATATTGTAAATTCATCCCGAATATTATGATTATTATCCATTACATTTTAATACTATACTCAGGTATTTTAAAATCAACTCCACTGCTGTTACCGATGCGGAATACGTTGAATGCTAGTTTAGTAACACTGTCTGGTGGATGTCTTGTTGGTCTTCTTTCACTTGGTACTGAATCTGTGCTACCTGGGCTTGGATTACTTATTGGGGGAGCTGGTGTTGCTGGCGGAATTTCTGGTTTGACTTTAACAGCTGCTATTGGAGGTGATTATTTTATTACTCTTATTTTGTTAACCATCTAGTTATATTATACGTGTTTTTATCGTTCGCATTGTTCGTTGATAATGTAATGTATTTTACTGAATAGGACTAAGTTTACACTTGGCGACCTCGCATCTGTCTTTTCACTCCACTTTGGCCATCTTAAACGTATCACTATTTTCCATTAAAGCCATGTGTTGAATACACAAACCTTTACTTTGATTGTGAATCATTTTGTAAGCCTTTGTTGTTAGGGTGTGTTTTTAACTTCTAGTAAACCCGTACTCTTAACTATTAAACCATATAATTATATATTCTTGTCAACGTCAGCTACAACGTAGGACCAGACACATATATGCGTCGGTCCAAGTTGCTATATCGCATTAACAACAACAAAATAGACACCGGATTCATATATTCTTGTAAAACTGTTTCATTTACCACCTATATGTACACAGTTACTGAAAGGCATCTGCTCGAATATCTGGGTTACCTGTTCCTGCCATCTAGATATTTCAAAAAAGTTATATGTTTGTGTTTGTTTTAACACACCATCATGTCTATTAATCGCATAGCCTATTCAGGCGCGTTTGTAAAACGTTTACAACAATTTCACTGTAAAAGTTACATCAAGATACAATCAGAGACATCATGGTGGAGGACAAAATGCATGGATTTGAATGAACATGATTCAGATGTAGATTCCTGAATTGCTTAAATGTGACTGGTGACCACTCAGTTTTTATCGTGAGGATTGATCAAGAAATAAGAAAAGGAAAACTTGTTGAAATACCTTTCGCCAAGAAGCTTATATTGTATCAAAAATATAATATTGAATAATGCCATTAATAATAATAAATTATTATTGATTTTACGATTGAAAATATTTAGGTGCAGATATGCCGGTTGTAATAACTGTATTAAATAGTTATTCCGGTTGGGCATTATGTGCTGAAGGTTTTATGCTGAATAATAGTTTAATGACTGTAGTTGGTGCATTGATTGGTTCAAGTGGTGCAATTCTATCCTATATTATGTGTAAAGCAATGAATCGTTCATTACCCAATGTGATATTAGGAGGTTATGGAACTTCTTCATATTCCGGTGGAAAATCTATGGCTATTACAGGTTAGTTACCATTGGTGCATCTGGTGTATTAGGTATATATAATTAGATTACAAGATTTTAAATTTTTGCATCGAAACACCTTTTTCGTTTGAGAAATAAGGATGTAATTTAACGATTTACGTCTAATTAGGTAAGATGGATTCTAAACTTGTAACTCCACAGTTGTTGATCTTGTTTGTGTGTATTACAATCTCCAAAACTTTATTGGGCATTTATATTTGAGATACGTAACATGTGTATATATAATATTGAGTGAACAATGCTGGGACCTAGGGTACTTGACAAAGGTGGGAAACCCGTTAGTAAGGTAGTGAGTCTTCATTTACTGAAGTAATGTAAACATATGTTACGTATGCCGAACCTCCGTCTACATGAACAAGGGATGCTTGCTAGTATTGAAAAATATTGGAAGAAAGATGATAACGACCACGAATTCATTGACTGTTAGTTTAAGTGAAGTGGGTAGATTCTGACTATCTGGCTGGGATCCGTGTGATAACTGCAGTCGTTGGTTGCAGGCTTTGTATGACATGTCTCGGAGTTTGCTGTAATGTAGGTGAACTTACTACTCATCTTCCCTCTCAATATTGACGTCCATTATTTCTTCATATACGCCTCTTCACTCTGTCTTCTGACATCACATTCCCGCTATTTACTCTTTCCTTTTGTCATTTTTATGTTGTTTCGATCTATTGTATTATTTACATCTCGTCATTCTAATCCGGTATAACAAATAGGGTTATCGTATATCTGTACTAGGCTTTATGTTGATAATCTCTGTCTGACTGAGAGAAAAAGTAAAGTAATACATTAATGTTCCCATGAACTAAATGGTTGGTCTGACAGATATCATTATTTGTTAATACAGAAATGTCACATGTTACCAATCTGTTAACACCCGAATGTGCATATGTACCGTTATTTTTTGTTTATAGACATTTGTTTACCCACGTGTCATCTTGTGTATAACTTGAACAATACAATGATTATGAATACAACCTGATGTTGCATTAAACTGTTAGATTGCCATCCAATTCGTTAGTTTGGGTCTTGATAGTATCACGAATTGGAATACCCGAAGTGATTGAGATCAAATGAGAAATGGACAGGTACCTAAATTTGGTAAGTGGATTAATGTTGCTGTCATACCGCATCGGCTGAGATAGGTATGACATGTGTAACACATGCCAGATCGTTGCTTACCACAAGAAAAAATAGTGAATAAGGTAAATTTGGCGAACATAAGATCTAACGATCAGTCCTTAAGATCACTAACTGCTGTTCCAATCTATCTCTGAAAATCCAGTGTTTCTAGTTGATTTCCGTTTGATTACAGTAAATAATGACCGAAGACTTCCAGGGACATGATTGAAAATCTGTTGGGTTGGAGCAGATCCATTTATGCCTGGTCCCTTTATTCTTGAGTTTTAATTCTCTTTTGTATACCTTGTTCGTTGATTTCATTCGTTCATCTGAAACATATTTTCTGTTTGGTTATCACTACAACTAATTGAACCAAATTTTTTCATTTCTTCACTATACCGATGTGGAATGCTCTCAACCTGCATCGATGCATATTTATACAAGTTTCTATATTGATTATAACTAACAGTTAAGCATACAACTGATTTATTATAATAACCAGTATTCCAAACTATTTTTGGTGAATCAGTTTACATTAGATCCTATAAGTTAGTTTCATAGGCTTTGTATACCGAAATTATGAGATGGTGGAGATTTGTAGCTCAGGTGGATGATTTTGGTGGAGTTTAGTTCTCTGAGCTGGATGGTTTGGTCGTGGAGCTTTCATCGTTCTTCTGAACGACATCATGAGCACAATCTTCAGATAGAAGTGAAGTGTTCGAATTTCTGTATATGTGTTTCACAGCTTGTTCTTTGCACCTCGATATTGATTGGTTCTTATTGACCAATACCGAAATTATTTTTATTTTTAAATAGAAGAGAGTTATGGTTATCCAAGGACCACTAATGTATTTTTTCGTTTACATCACATAGTAGTTTATTCCTCGTGTTTATCTTGCCATCATTATGTCAATGTGAACATTCTCACTATGAATACAACTATATCGTATTTTATCTATCCATTATTATTACTGTTATAATCATGACTATCACTATTATTATTATTGTGGCCATAATCGTGAATCGTTTCAAGTTGTAATATACTGAGTTTCTAACCATTATTTAATATATATCTCTAGGTGTTCATCGTCAGACGAATGTTTCATCCGTTGCTAATTATTTAAATGATTTTAATGAAATTATTATTACACCTGGTTATGGTTTATGTGTTGCTAAAGCACAATATCCATTGGCAGAATTGACTAAAGAATTAATCAAACGCGGTAAACATGTACGTTTTGCTATACATCCTGTTGCTGGTAAGTTTATTTAATAGAAAGTTTTTGAATATGTTGCTAGATCAACCATTAATTATTTTGACGATTTGACCAGTGCAAGAGTAGGTATCAGGGGTCCGAGGAATTGTTCTAAATCATGAAGTCACTGACAGTTGGATAGAACTATACAGGCAGACACAGACTATTTAATTGAGGTTGTAATCTATAGTTGAAGCCGTTGGCTTGCACGGGTCAGAATCGGTTAAGATGGCCCACATCCGTTCACTCTTTGTCGTTTCGTTTCATTTTAAACTTCCAAATTATTTTGTACGTTTTACTTCATGAATTTATTCTTCTTGGATTATACAATCTATGTTTAATATGTTTTTACTGCCAACACTACTGATAATGTTCTACTTCTTTTATTATCTCGTTTGTCTTGAAAAATTCATCTCGTTGTGGTGATGTAATGTGGCCTCTCGAACTCATACTCGTATATGCCAGTTCCAACTTTGCTTATGAATGACTGGCTGACTGACTAACTTATTTTAATTGCATATTCATGTAATATATATATATATATATATATATATATATATATATATATATATATATATATATATATATATATATTGGTTTGTTCCCTTGGATTTCATCCATCGGAAATTAATTTTTGCATTATTTGGACTGACCGATTAGATTGACAATTATCATGATAAAAATCTGCAATATGGTTTGAAGTTGGATTTCATATTTGTGTCATTATTTATAAGTAAATAGTATACTTAATACTAGTTATCAATCACATCTTCTTACTTTCATAACTTTTAATTGTCTCAGTAACATTTTTTGACGTAAACATTTAGCTTGTGCAGACAACAAGCGGAATAAACTAATATCTTGTAGTCAGCGGCTTACATATAACTAGCATACTATTTCATGGCGGTAGATGCATCAGTTTACTTCATAGCAAATAAATATAATTCAGATAAGAGTAAAACAACTTGAGAAGTTAGAAAAGATTCGTAAAAGAATTATGTCGTCATTTTATAAGCAGAGTTAAATAGTGACTACTAGTGGAATCAAGGATGCGCGTCGTTTCATCCTATCTTTGACTCGTCAGCTGGATATATATGCTTCTCAGTGTTAACGTTCACATCAGGACTTTAATTCAGTCAGTACCTTCCACTTCAAACTTTGAATGCATTATCCATTGAGCTACTGAGTTCAGATAACACCTAGCTTGTGCAACCGTGGTGAATTTTAATTCATTTGTTATAGTTGGTTTAAACCCTCACCGTATTGAACCGTACAAGATGCACGTATGTCAAAACAGATTGATCAACTGCAATCCTTAAAATTAATAACAGTACGATTTAAAATCACCCTATCACGTTGTACAGATATTATTAAATAACATCATTTCAAACTATTCAAAATTAATGATGTTTGAATCATTTTAAACTTTAAAGGAAGAATGCCAGGACAACTAAATGTTCTTCTAGCTGAAGCTGGTGTACCATATGATATTGTTCATGAAATGGATGAAATCAATGCTGATTTCTCAAAAACCGATTTAGTACTAGTGATTGGAGCGAATGATACTGTTAATTCTGCAGCTGAAGAAGATCCCAATTCTATAATAGCTGGTATGCCTGTACTACGTGTATGGTTGGCTAAAAAGGTCTGTTATTATTATTATAAATATTGTCTGTTAAATAAGTTACTTACTGTCGACATATTTATAGTAATATGTTCAAGTGACAGGGATTTAAAGTTGTTTTATCTAATTCATTGTAGGTCCTATTTTGTTATGTGTAGATCTTGAAATATTAGTTTGATTGGATTATTTTCATCTATTAATTGAATTTATTCTATCGGTTTAGAAGTTTAATAAGAAATTTTCTGATTTGCTTAAAAGTTTATTAAACAGATTGATGTTTGATACTGTTTATATTCGTTTTAATGGAGCTTGTAGAGATTAGAATATCAAAGATTCCTATTGTGTCAATAACATGTATGCAGGGAAAAATAAGCCGAAGATATTAACCACGCGTTAGAAACCTCTGTTCTTAAAGCTACGATTCGACAAAAATCTGACTAGTGATGTCCTTCATGATAAATAAGTAAGAGTGGTTAATTGGATATTCTGTGCTGTTAATCTTGCGTTGATATTTCCCAGTAGACCAGTAATATTTACTCAAACAAAGGATAAGTTACTTGATTTGGCTTGCTCAATGTGGAATAATATCATGCAGCTTAACTAACGAATGAGTGAACGTGTTTCAGTTTGGTTTAGAAGGGTCCAGTCAAAGACAATACGTCGTTCTATCATGATACGCCTAGTTCACAGAAACCATGTAGTAGGTAAGATCAAATAATTTCGAGCAGTCTATCTTATACCTTCGTCATTCCCCATTGGGGTTCGATCTCGTCTCCTACATATAGCAGAAGCTATAGAGATTCGAACCTCTAATCTCATTTTATGTGTACCGAAGGAATTCACGACACCCCTGCTCCTTCGTAGGCCGGATATGACCTAGTAAATAATTTTAATAATTTTTTTCACATCCCATCTGTCATTTTTCACCTTCTTTTGTTTATATTTTAATGGTATTTTGTGGTAATGAATTTGAAGTCTATCCATCGAAGTTTAATCTACTTCTTACATTGCACTGTTGACTAGAACTTTAGTTATTTCACTATATTTATCACTACTATTACTATACATAACCTCTTATTATCAATTTATACTTTTTACATTTTTATGTGTAGTTATCCATTCTATTTCACTGTACTTATTGATTAGTTTAATAGTTCTATATAAATATGTATATTCGAGTAAACTTGTTGACTATTTGATTGAAAAACTATTGTTCATTAATATGTGTTATAGAGATTAGTTAAATTTAGTTTTCATCATTGTTCAGTTATATCAGGAGTTAAACTGTAACACATCAAGGTTACATAATGTCAGTTTATTTAAGGAACCAGTTAAAATAAGAAATATGAAATATTACGTCATAATCTAGAAGTTCCATGCTTACTGTGAGACTCCAACATACCTGTTTCTTTAAATGATAGTAATCAGCAATGAAATAAAATTTGAATATTCCTTCTTTTTTTTAATCAACCGTTTGATGATGAATTTACCAATTCACATAGCAATGTCATTTAATGAATAAAAACAAAACGGGCTAACTCAAACTTTCATTCCAATAAGCTATTTTATCCTATTTAAAACAATCGAAGGAAAAATCCTTCATTGAAATTCCATGCTTGTTGTTAATGATGATCGGCAATGATTATTATCGAGTGATTAAAAAGAAGATAATTGACCTCTTTCATTCAACATTACGTTTAGTTTTTTTTCTTCTTCAAGATTTAATAAGTTTTATGTTAGCTGTGTTAAAAACTTGAAATACACCAATAACATTGTTATCTTGAAGAAAGAGAAAGAACAATGAATTAATAGCAGTGTTTGAAGTTTTTAATCCCACTAACCTTACAATTTTTGAGATACATTTTTGTAATCGATCATAGGCTCTTTTCTCTGTTCTATCAGTTTAACTAATTTGGCAGGTATATGTAAATTTGTATATGTAGTTGGTGATAAAATAATAGGCGTGCCTATCGATCTTTAATTGAATTAAAGAACTTATTGTTTTATACAAGATAATCGTCTTGACTGCAGAATACATTTTGTAGTTTTCAATCTTTTGCTTATTGTCGCTGCAACATAGTCACATTTGAATTCATGTTGAGTGAAATCAGGTTTTTTTGTTTACCGCGGTTTCTTTAGGCGTTTTTTCTATACTCTTACCATATTTCTCAGTATATTTCTTTGAACATCTGTTATTCCTTGAAGATTCATTAATTCTGCTTCTAGTATATCAGTAGTACGTATCCATTCCTTTCTGTGAAATAACGCTTTTAATAATTCGAATAAGTGAACAACATTGTAAATTTTTTTCAATAAAATATCCTTTTTGTTTGATAGGCTGATTGTATTGACATGAGATGAGAATTATTTGCTTTTCAAACTATTTGCTGCTTAGGAACTGTTGACATTGATAGATACACATTACTCTTATACTTTCAAGAAAACTATAGAATTCATTTTAAAAATCATTATGTGATATATTGACCAATTACATTTACAAAGTACATTTTACCAAAATAAATAAATGGTTGTCGTTTTGTGGTGTGAGCTACTTATATTGATATAAGTAGTATATAACGTGCGTTAAAATAACGTAATGTCTGGCAGCGGAACATGGCGAAGATCAAGAAAGGTAGAGCGAGAACACAATGGAATTTGTAAGAAAATGCATGAACAATGGATTGGTGTTTGCAACAGAAACAGTTCAGTTTGGTTTGATGCATGAATATTTTGCAAATTGACGATTTATTATATGGTATTCAGATTTTGTTGAGAGAGACTGTAATTGTTACGCTACATACATCCGTTTGTCCCCGCCCGTGTTCTCGTTCACTACAGTTTGACTGACAATAAGAGATTCAACTGTATATGAAATGTTCTCAATATTTTAGAAAGTCAATCATCATATTCAATCTTATTTACTGATAAAATTGCAGACGTTTCAGTAAATATCGTAGTTTTATCGGAATTCAAAATTTTCTTCAGTGCAATCCAAAGATATTGACTAAGATTCTTATTGAAATTCTATTTATTATCATAGTAGTAATGTGGTGTATGCTACTTATATCTTTCAACATATGTAGCATGTAGCATCAGTTAGAAGAGGAGTGCCTGGCTGTTGAAAGCTAATAAAATCGAGTTGCAGAAAACAGAAAGGGAAATTTAAAGGAATTTTGATGTGAAAGAATCATACAGAATGTGCAGGACAATTAATGGAATATTTGTAAATGAAGTATTTAATGTATGGTTCTCATATATTATGAAGATATTCTGTAATTTTGTAGTAAACAATAGCTTAGTTGTCTCCCACCTGGGTCTTCGTTCAGTACAGTAGACTGAATAAATTATCTCAGTTTATCACCATAACAGTTATTCCTCTATATATCCCACTGATACTACTACTGATAGCATTTATATAGTGTACAATTAAATACGTACTGTGGTGCATGCTACTTATGCTGATAGATATAAATATTATGTAGCATCAACCGGAAGTTGGTTGGTTGGCAGCAGAAGATTGTAATGAAAAGGACAGAAAGGAAATCTGAGAGCTATCGAAATAACAACAGAATTAGAGGAATAATGGAGTATGTAAAAGACAACACAAAGTATATGTGTAAATACTGTATTTACTGTATGTATTTCATATTTAACAAACCCATTGTGTTATTTTGCGTTAAACGATAAATTAGTTCTCCACACCTATGTTTTCGTTCACTATAGTACTACCAATTATATTACAAATAACCAAATTGTCCATTACTTTTCCTTATTTTATGAAATCAAAATGTTTCTAGGTTGTTGTTGTCAAACGAACATTAGGCGTTGGTTATGCGGCAGTTGATAATCCTATATTCTTTAAAGAAAATACTGAAATGTTATTAGGTGATGCAAAAACTATTTGTGATGACTTATTAAATGCATGTCAAAATCCATCATGAAGAAAATTCAATTTGTATTCTATGAAGATCAATAATATTTTGGATATAACATTTAAAAAGATAAATATGTGTTTTGTTTGTTTCTTTCTCTCTTAAAGTTGAACATTAAGTTCCAACTACCCATTGGTTAGTTCTTCCATATCACGGATTGTTTTCAATTCAATTGTTTATTAATTTAAAATATTCCATTATTAATTATGTTTAAGACTATGATTGGGAGTTTATTACTTTCATAAACCTTTTATTATGCAAATTAACTATTTAATACTAGAGTCTCATTAATTTCAGTAGGTAAACATTTAACTTTTTGATTACATCTGCCCTATCATGAAGTTCTGCTTATTTCAGTCGATATTTAGTTTCAGAGTTAAAACCTCCTGTTTGTTTGATATATGTATTTGCTGAGTTGTATTCTATGTGGTTAAAAAAATTAAATGGTTGAACTGATCACGTATAATTGTTTTAACTTGAATTAGCGATTACAGTTTACACCCGAATCTTCAGTAACTAGTTTGAGAGTGAATATACCGAATGTGAACAATAAAACGGCATTGAAATTTTGTTCCTGCATAGCTGATGGGGGATATAGATTAGTTGTGTTGTCAATCTCAAGTAGTGTGGAATATGAAAGTATATGTGTGAGATGAAATTATCAGGACGTATTCCTGTGTGATAGAAGTAGTAATAGCACTACTGGTAATGGAATAAGATTGGCCAAGGATGTTGACAGTTTGCTCCCTCTCGAAATGCTCTCACATGTGTATACAGCCAGTGCCTTCTTGCGACGGGGATGTTTTTACGAAATTGATGGGACGAAAAGCGAATGTTTGGCGCCTTAACTGGGTTGGTGGACATGGAGGGTCCACGTAAAGAATTGGTAAACTTCTGATTCAAAGCCAATGGTTCACATGGACTCAATAATCCTGAAGGAACTAATGGCGTATGAACCAATTATTGGCCACCAGCTTCCGTAAGACCACATCTCCTAAAGATGCTTCACTGCCTTGTGGATTAAACCTACAGCTCAAAGACTCAGGATGTGGCCCTCCACCTGCTTTGATCTGGACACCTGGGTGGTGTCACATTCTTCACACTAATCAATGATAACTGTTATAGGCCTCACTCTGTATTTGATGCCCCCCCCAAGGTTAAACCTCTAGGTCAAAGACTTAGAGTTGACCCCTCAAGAAAACCATCTGCTTTGGTTTGGGCAACGGGGAAGTATCCCATCGCACGCACAAATCAAATGATGATTATAAAACTGAAAAAAATTATTCTCGCTTCATTTCTCAACCAGACAAATCACATTCACAATCATTTGTCAACAATCATTTTTACATATTAATATTAAAGCACTTGTCTACTCCTTTTTATTCTCATTTTGCGTAGATTTTATTTCTCAACTTATTCAGTATCTCGTCTATGGTGAAAATCCTGTCGCGTCTAAATGACTTCATGTCAATAGCTGGTCCGAAGTTGAATGCTACCACTTAATACGAATACTGAAACAGTCTTTCTGAAACCACGTATACCATTCGAACTGGCTTCTCTCAACCTTCGCACACCAATGCAGATCAGATAACAGATAGGGCTGGCTATGTCTTCAGAATTTCTCAAGATTGATTTTTATTGTCTGCATGTTGTGTTCGTATGTTCTTTGCACCTTCGAAGTGCAAAGTTCTTTTACAAGACCGGTAGGACCTTTAACCTACACTCACTCTGGATAGTGAGCAGATAGAATTATTTGAGAAATTTTTGTATTCAGGTAGCTGCTAGTGATGAGATCAGTTTATGTATGGTAAAAGCCATAGTGATCTATGCCAATATGGTCCATTCTTGGTGCCTTCGTGATGTTAGTCTGGCTATTAAAGATTGGATCGAAAACGCGACGGTGAGAGCACTTGTACTTTGTACTTCTGAAACCTGGCTTCTTTGAGTTGGAAGTGTTGTGTTTGATTGTCGTTGTCTCTGACAGACTGCTGACATCCAGTGGTAACATCGTGTTGGTAATGCAGAAGTTCAGTAACTTGTATTCTGTCACGGCAACGACAATTCAATTGGTGTCACCATCTTGAAATGTCGACTTTGGTGGCTTGGATATGTCCTACGAATACTGTCCCACGTTGTGTATTATTTACCGACTCTCGGACTGTTTAAAAAAAGCTAAGTGGTGGTCAGTGCACGACATGATGTCGTAGTATGAAAGAAAGCTGTTCAAAACTGGCTTCTGTTGGACCTTCACGACTTCCTGGTTGAGGTCCTAGAAATAGAGCAACACAGTAGCCTGAGACGTTATTGGAAATGGATCGGAACCAATGGCTATCCTTCTGTTACTTTTTTTATATAATTGAACGTAATTTTTAGTAGAAAGAATTCTTTCGTGTTGTATTTTTCATAACTGAACTCCCATAATTATTATTATTATTTCAAGCTCATACACTAATTTCTGTTCATTGTTGGGCCTTTTGTTATACTCACCCTTCCATTCTCTATCTCTTCACAACCTCACTGTTAGTATGTGGTGCACATGTGTTTAGTCCCCCCTCGTAATAGTGTTTGTGTGTTCAAATAAGACAATATACTATTGCGAATATTACACGGATTCAATTAAAATGCTCAATAGTCTTTTAAAACGTATCTAAGCCAATATCGAACACGATCATTTTCAAAATTTAAAATATTCACGTTTAAATTTTAAGATGTGAATTATACATGTTCAAAGTGCATTTACTCTAACAAAAAATTACTACTTTTTCCTATAGATGCACTTACTAGTGAATAATAAGGTGAACATGTAATATTTCTTTTCAAGTAACTCTTTACCATGAATCTGCACTCAGGATTTTGGTTCGTTAGTTGAATGTAAAATCAACACTAATATAAAATGGTTATGAGTCAGTTAGTATTGTACGTATTACGACGTCCGACTATAATTGTATTTCTTGACTTTAAGGTAGCATTCGGTTTTGTTATTCGTGAGGTATTATGACAGTGACTGTCATTGAGATGGGTACCATAGAAAACACATCAATCATACAAAGTCTAGCTGCTTCAAAACTGCTGGTCGAGTGAGAGTTTATGGCAAACTGTCATCGAGATCGGTAACTTCAAATGGTGTTCGTCGGGGTTGTCAGTTTTCCACAGCGTTATTTAACTTTATCATAGACATCGTCTGAATTTTCAGGAGATTCATTTGCTGGCTTAGAATACTCAGATGATGTAGTTATGTTTGGCGATGAAAATGCAGTCACCTGATGACCATAATCAACAATGCAGGGATATTCTTGATGCTAAAATTTTCCTCCAAATTAAGGATGTTGCTTCAAGACTGGCATACTTAGTTACTTAATGTAGTTGGGCGTATCGATTGTCTAACTTATTTTGAGAGTTTCACCAATCCTGATGGTTGGGCTTCTGGCAAAATGTCAACACAGATTCAGAAAGCTCAATTAGCTTTTCAACTTTTGTCCTTTGTCGTGTATGCAAGACATTTGTCTGCCAACCAAAGGACAAGCTAACTGTACAGCAGTTCTCTCCGTTCTACTTCATGGGTGTAAAACGTGGCCATTATGAATGGTGGGTATTCATAATTTAGTAGTGTTTGGCTACAGTTTTCTTCGAAGCATTCCTCGAACATTTGGGGACCGCTTGGTAGATAATGCTAATGTTAGGGTTCTTGGCAAAGGTGGTAAGTCGCTTGGTGAAACAGTACATCTCCATCAACTGAGAGGGTTCGAACATAAGTTACGTATGTCTTCTCATCGCCTACCTTGACAGGCGATGTCTTGAGTAGGTGTAGGTTTGGAGAAATGTAGAGGCCTTCAAACTAAGAAATGCTATCAATCTTTGAAGTCATCGGTAATTGAACTGAATACTGATTAGAAGTGTGAGTTACCTGGTGAAATCCACGAGATTAAAATAGCGGATAATTAGAAACTTTAAGTGACGCGGCTCAAAATTGTCTGTAATGGCTCTGGTGCATCCCGTTATCTATCTTCCGTTAGATCCTGAGTTCCGAAGTTCTTCATAATCTTTTTATTTCACTAGTTTATTGTATTTGAATAGTATCTCAGATACCCAACCGTCAACCCTGGGTACATATACTAAAAAATTTGAATTATTTCAATATTGCCACGTTCAAAGACCGAGAAAATTATTATTGAAGATATATTCATAAATCTAAATCTCTTGTACAGTTCTCTATTAATATTGTTAAGGTCTTTGGCTGTGACATTGATTCAAAGTCCTGAATATTAAAACTAATCCATGCTGATCTAAGTGACTTAGGTTAATACGATACTGCAGATCGCCTGCAACCACCTACAGTAACAGAAAGATCAAATATATCTAGTTACCATATTTTCTTGGAACGTCCTTATTAACTTCGTTATGATTTTTTTTCAATCTGGAGACGTATTGGTTGATAAGAAAAGTCACGAGTTTTACAACTATAACTTCTGAGTAGTTTCATCAATAACCATGACCTTAAATTTAATTACTTTGATCGATACGTAACTGTTAACAAGTCGATTCATTTATACTTAATAAATGGTGAGACAATAACATATCAACGTCTAGAAATGGAAGATTTTCTTTCAGATCCGACGTTAACAGATAACTCCTCATTTATAGTAAGTGATATATTGTATATTCTTATCATTGTGGTTCTAGACTAAATAAACTGATCTTTGATTAGAATAAAGGTAGAGGGTTAGGTAATTGAATTCGTGGATTAGTCAAAATGTGCAAATTCTATCTATCAAGTGTATAGCACTCTGTAACACAGACTCAATGGTTAGTCTAGTTACGGAGGTTTCTAATGAATATCAAAACATGGAAAAATAGATATATGAATTCATGATTAGCTCACTTATTGATTCTACTCTACTTTGCTTTCCTATTTTTACTTACTTACGCTTGTTACACCTCGTGAAAAAACATAGGCCACCCACCAGCATTTTCCATTCAACTCGGTCCTCAGAATTAAGTTCCACTTGTTAGCCATTCTTTTGATGTCTGCTTTCAGTTCTCAACGCATTATGTTCAACGGGCTTTCTCTTTTCCTCCCCCCTTCAGTATTTCTGTTTAGCTCTTGCCTCATGATGCGGTTTAGTGATTTCCATAATATATGTACTATCAACATCCAACGTCCTTTCCTAATTCTCTACTTAGATATTCAATAAATTGTTCAACGTTTATTGATCTGACATCTAACGTAGAAATGTTTCATCTTGATAGATGATTTTCACGATAATACATAATCATGCCATTTATAGTTTTTAAAAAAAAGCTTGTTATGTTGTAATGAAGAAGGGTTTGAAGTATCCATTTGTTGATAAGCACAGATGTATTCAAATGAGTTTTTGTGAGTATATGTAAATCTTGATCGGATTACATTGAGACAGCCGTTTTCTAACACATTATATAGAGTAGATAAATTGTGGCTAGCATTGGAATTCTGGACTTGGGTTTCGATGTATTTGGGCCTAATCAGTTAAATTCACGTTTATATCAATGTTGCTCTTCATTTTGGGTCTCGATAGATAGGTGGCTTCGGCATTAGGCATCGATAAAGAAAATGTTATAACTTGTGGCCTGAGTGCCCTGTTAATGTATAACGTAATGATACCACCAATCAGAGAGCAGTGAATTATCGATCGGACCAATGACGCATAAAACCCGTACGAGCAGTCTAGAGTCCTTATTGGTCCTGCTTCCCGCCTAGCCCAGCCAGTTAAGTCGAGAACACCAATCTCAGTTTCTGCGATATGAATCACTTACTTCGAACATACTCGGTTTATATTAGCAACCCAACAGACCATATCGTACCATAAAATGGAAAATAACGTTTGTACAATATTTGACCAAATGTGGCTGTGAATATGGGAGGTAGTAATTTATAGACAGAGCATAACTCAAGAACGGTAATACCAGTTCATCGGTCAAAATGAAGCTTATGATAAGAGGGACATGAATATATATAGTTCAGTTATTGAACAATTATACGATAAAAATATACGCATAGTGTTGTTCTATAAATGGATCCCAAAGTTACCATTCATTATACATATCGGGACCTAACAGAAAGGTGTAGCGTGGAGTCGAGTCGTGATTGACTATGAACACCACTACAAGAAGACTACGTGCCAGTTAACCGGTAAAATCCTCCGTAAGCCAAATATCAGAAGGTAGTTGATAGCTGTAGTCGAGATGTATTTGTTGGTGATCTCGCGGTATCGAAAAGATACCGAGATCGTGCCAAAGGAGTACAAGCGTGGTTACCGAGCGTAACCAAACCCATGCAAGGTCACAATCAATGGAAGGATAATGGAGTGGTAATATAGCTGTCTTCAGCACAGTTAAACAAACGAGCACAGTAATACAATCACTGGTACAATTGGTTATAATAATGATTGTTTCCATTAAACCCATCGCGTTCTCTTGATAAAAGTAGGTCACTACGAAGGTATTAGTTCTGCCGTTGCAATAAGCTAAGAACTGTTAAATAGTGCAATAATCATGTTGTGAATCCTAATGCTAAACGCAATCTACCAACTTTATTTGAATAACTGTAGAATGAAAGTTGTGATAATGAAAGAATTGTGAAAAGTTATTCCATCATTTTCTACTTGAACTTTATAGATTTATCCAAGAAAAGAAGTTTACTATGATTTTCATGATACTACAAATTATCAAGATAGTTTTTGGTTTAGTCTGCCATCAGATTTACGAATACTTGAGAGTAAGCTAACAGTTTTTCAAAGTAATAAATGAAGTATTTGGGTACTTAAGTCACTTGTTCACAACATAAATTATTTTTTATAACGGACCAGTGGAATGTACGTGTAATTGATAAGTGTTGTTCAAACATAACTTGATATCTATGTTAATGATTAGACTGTTTCGAGCTATGAAACATTTTATGAAAAGGAATTTTTACTACAATAATGTTTCAACCGAAGTCATTCGAGTAGATTAGTCTTATACAACTATTAAACTAAAGATCCATTCATTGATAGAAACAGTGAAATGGAACTATAAGTTGGAATGCTTTAGTGATTCATGAGACATTGAAAACCAATTGTTTTATCAATAAAATTTACCAACTTCAAGGACTACTCTAAACTGACAGTAATCTTGTTTTCAATAGTGGTTAACTTTAAGGGATTTTATTCCAGTAGTTCAAAAGTGTAACTCAGATCCATAGAGTTCAGCCATGTCTAATTTGCGATAAATGTCACTGGTGTTACTGGATGATGGTTAGACGAAATTGTGAATTGATTAGGAGTTTTTGATTTGGTGAATCAGTGAGAATTATCCAAATGATAAGTTCAATTGATACCAATTAAAAGTGACCTGAAGGACAAGTGCATATCATTGGTTAAGAAATTGATTGATTTTCTATAGTGGTAGAGATGCATTTATATCAATGAGTGTTTGTGTATTATATTACGTCCCAGGTTTTCAACCGCTGTCAAATTTAGATCGCTTCGTGGTATCAATAGAACTCAATAGTAACTAAATCTTTATGTTATGATTTACCTTCCTTGAATAGATTTAAGACAGGTTTTACAGAGTCTAAATTGAGACATTTAGGGCTTTAGTGACCCGTGGATCTGACTCCTATTTAGATCGTACGAATGTTCGTTATCACCTATCCTCGTATACAATTATGGACGTAAATCACGTTAGTCAATAACGGAATTTAGATAAGTCAATTAACGAAAATGGCCTTTGAAAACATATATTTTGTATGTGAAATGAATGTAATAGAACAAAGCAAAATGACGCGCAGGAGAGATGGCTGGTAAGCCAACTCCATTTCAAGTCAGGCGTTATTTAATATTTATAGGCAGACAAAATAAAGCTACAACATGTGATTAATGGGATAAGAAGGGCACACACATATAAAAACAGACTAGATTGATAAGCGAATAAATAACAAGGACGAAGTATGGTTCAAGTAGAATGAATAGAATAGGATGTCCGAAAGCTAGAATAAGGTATATGGGCTTAATACAATAACTGACACTACAGGGCCTTACCATGACTTATTAATCATTCTCATTATTTTTCCAAATCTTCGGCACTCTAAGATTAAACCTACACAGACATAATATGGTATGTTTTCGAAGATACTTTCTAATTAGTGAATTGATAGAGGTTAAATTAATAAAAAGTTACATATTAATCACAATAATTAATCATTAATTTAATCCATGAATCTTAATTCTGATGAATGTTTGTTCTCGAAGTTGAATGGTTTGATCGTGGAGCATTCATTGTTCTCCTGAACGACATCATCTGCACAAACTTCAGCTACAAATTTTGTTTACAATATATTAATCTTAGACATTAACCTATCTTGCCACTTTATTGTATTATATTTACGTTACCAAACAACCTATCAATTGATTACCAATTGATTAAAGTATAACGGTCAATATTTTTCAGCCACAGGAATCTAGTTATCAACTATTCAGTGCTTACTAACTTGTTTATAGTTTACATTTCTATGTTCACTTGCTATTGTTTTGCTTGAATCTCTCCATTAAGGTTTAAGACTGCAATTGATCAGTCTGTTATAGGCATATGTGCCTTAATTCATAAGTTTTATAAGAAAAGATGGATAGTGGCTAGCAGCGAAATCCAGTTTGTCCTATGCAGGACTCGTCAGCTGGATGTAGATACATGAGTTGATGTTCACTCTGTGACTCGAACCCAGTACCATTCGCTTCAAACGCTATCGCGTTATCCACTCAAGTATGTAATGATCATCCTACTTAATAATACTTAGTAGTTTGAATAGTGTTGTAAAGTTCAAAAGTGAAATAACACCAACACGATATAATGTAAACCACATACTACATATTCATCCAAGTTAAAACTAGCCTTTCACTACGCTATATTCACAATAACACCTTATTCCCGATTCTTTTTAAATATAAGCAGATTCGAACATACATCAACCAGCTTACAGGTATAAGAGATTATCATTAAACTTTTAAAATCACAAATAAATTGTTAATTATCAGTTTAGGGGTTGTGGAGATTATTAAGTTTTTGATTGAGATCATGAACTAATTGATGTTACACCTTCATTGAAAACCTGGAAGCACTGGACGGCCGTTTCGTCCTGTTGTGGGGATCCTCAGCAGTACGCATCCATGATCCCGCTCGCGGGATTCGAACCCAGGGCCTTCATTCTCGCGCGCGAACGCTTAAAATTGTTAATCCTTCTGCTCTTCGAAGTTGTGGTGGTTCTCAAACAAAAGGAGCTTATACAAAATATATTGATACACTAGGTTAATAATGATATACCCAGAAAATTAATAGTGAAAACCCGAGATGTCTGTCTGTTAGTAAAAACCAAAGGTAACAAACAGACAATAACAGTTACTATAGAATGAATGTCACTTGTGAGCTGCTTCGTAAGAACAACAACCACAAACTGAGTTCAATTGATTGACAGGTATCCCTCTACAAGTGACTGCACCAATGACGTAATGAGGAAGACGGAGTCCAATAGTATTATATAATAGTAATCCGCGCCAAAGGTTCAACGTAGAGTCGGAAGGCCTAAAATGATGTTATAATACTATTATAGTCTTCCATCAAAACGGTGGCCAATAAAACAGAAGAACAAACGGCGTAGATAGCGTTCTATATATTTAACCAACACTGTAGTAAAATCGTATATCATTCATCGAAACAATTATCATTGTCTTTTTAACAAATGATACAGCAAAACAACAGATATTGAATAAAAAATGTGGTTACAAATAAAGTGTGACAAATTAGAGGGGAAAAAAATGTGGTTTTTATTTTTGTTATTACAAAAATCACTGAATATAAGTCACCATAAAGTTTTATAAATCTCGGCGTTTCATATTTTCATTTTCTGTGTAAACCGTTCGCTAAAATACTCCAGATTTCTAGTTATTACATATTTTTTGGTAAACTGTTACATACTGAAATGATTAACTCCTTTATTAAGTTCTATATTATTCTGTTATTATACTATTTTATCAAAATATGTTTTATTACTTGTCATTTAGATATGTCCGTTATAGATTATCTACGACAATTTGCCCATCTTTCATCTAGAAAGTATGATTTATATCGACGTATATATAATCACTGGTGTCAAGGCTCTAAACTTTCTATTGATGTAAGTACTAGTTGTTTGTAATAATGATTTGTCAATTACTTATGAAATTAGTTTTTCTGAGATGGCGTAGAAGATTTGTAGCTCAGGTGGATGATTTTGGTGGAGTTTTGTTCTCTGAGCTGGATGGTTTGGTTGTGGAGCTTTCATCGTTCTTCTGTTTTGAAAACACTTCACTTCTATCTGAAGTTTGTGCTGATGATGTCGTTCAGAAGAACGATGAAAGCTCCATAACCAAACCATTCAGCTCAGAGAACAAAACTCCACCGCAATTAGTTTTTCCTTTTATATTTTGAGTGAGACTATAATTAATGGATAAACCAATTAGATTTAAGATAGCAGGTTTTGAATTTTAGTACATTCATTTAAAACTAGCAAGTAGGTGAACATTCTCCAGGTCACATAAGCGTCGCTTAAAATTAATTCATAAATTATAGTCTCAACGTAATCAAAGTTTGTTAGGGCCAACCATATGCCCTGGTACGACCGAGAGTGGGAAGAATCAACTCTCCCTCTCGAAATGCTTTCCCATGGCCTCGTGCATACAACCACTCTAAGGGAAGTCCTACTCACTGAGTTCTCGTAGCAGGGGTGTTGTTTACAAAATCGAGAGAATAAAAAGCCAATGTCGGGCGCTTTAACCGGGTTGCTGGACACGAACAGTCCACCTAAGGAAGTGAGAAAACCTTGATTCCAAATTGATGGTGCACATGGACTCCAGTATCCTGAAGTAACAAATGGCATATGAACTAATTGCTGATGACCGACTACCATTGGACTGCATCTCCTGACGTTGCTCCTTTTCGTTGTAAATCAGACTATCATATAAAAGGTTTGGTGTGTGACCCCCTAAGAAAACCAGTTGCTTCTGTTTGGGCACACAGAGAGTATCCCAGCCCTCACATAAATCGAATGATTTATGTGGCGCATACCTATTTGGTGCCTCCTTGGACCAATATTTATGTATTGAAATAAAATAATAATAATAAGTATAAGATAACTCAAATATATCTTAATAGTCTTTCTTGATTGTTTACAGCACGCTTAGTACTGAGAAGTTATGATGATTATTTTTTGTTCAATAGTTGTCTATATAAAATTAATTCATAATGAAAACGCCATGTATTTAGCATGTTTCAAGAAAACTAAGTGTGAAATTCTACAAGCACATCACTTCATCATTCAGAGTCAATTCTAACTTAATCTGTATTGATATGTCAATTAAGATTTTAAAACGTTAAATATTTTTCTGGTGAAACCACAAGTCATAAAATGAATCTGATAAGTCTAGTCGATTGAACGCTATATTTATTTCCTAAGCTATTCTGGTAACCCGCAGACTAGTACTACACAGCGACTTGAACACCAGAGAGAAGACGCAAGTATGAGAGAAAATACTTTATCCCAAGGTTCATTGTTGTACATAAAGCATGGGTATTTATAGATGTTGACCTTTGTTCAATCAACATCATATTTCAGCCAATCCGTTAACGACATATTATGCTACTGACCAATAGTAGCACGCCACGTTGGAATTCTAGAATGCTCCATCGTGCTGTGATTGGCTAAGACTATTCGGCTCCTTTTGGGCCTCTGGAGGCTCCGTTGAAGTTCTCCGAAAGCCGACTCAACAGAATCTCTTGCTGAATTCGAGATAAATACTGTAACAAAGAAAAGATTATTAAATGAAACAAGGTTCACTATGATTATATCATGATAATACGACCTGGATTTGAGATTATATAACACCTTCCAACGTGACTAAACAAAGGTTTGATGAAGAAAGTGTACAGCTTGATATTGGCCCATTTCATACAAACTAGTCATAGTGCCAGTATATACCAATCCTTTTCAATTATTTATCGGGTCAGTAATTTTGTTTCTCGAAAACTTGTCAAACTTAAAGTCGTTCAAACGGCTGAACCAGTAACCAACCAGATGAAGTCACCGAAGCTATGCGTATAGTAGATTGAAGTTCATTGTGAAATCATTTCAATTACTTAATTCTTGATAAAAAATGATCTTTCTTTTTGTATATTTTATTATTAGAAATTAAATAATGCATTTGAAGATATTGTACCAGTACAAATTCCAATTAGTTGTTATACATTAGTATTTAATCTAATTGGATTACAAGTTATAGATTATCAATATATTGATTTTGAAACATTCTGTTGTATATGTATTGCTGCAGAACGTCTTATATTCTATAAAATTATGTGAGTTCATTTTAGTATGTACTTTTCACTATTGTATAATAATATACAAACTAAATGTAACTTGATGATGATGATGATGATGGTGAAAAGGAAACTCATTTATTAGATAGAATGTCATATACTCATTTTTGTGCTACATTATATATGTGACAGTTAGTGATAATATACAACTGCCTAAACCGAAATAGATGAAACAAGATTAGACATTGAAAGCTGAACAGACTTACTAATCAACTATCAATTGATATATCAATAGTTTAGTTATGAAATACTTTATACTTACTAATAATCTATGAAAGTTATTCATTATTTACTAATCATATTGTTTGAGTCTTATTATTTGTTGAAAGAATTCGTTAAAAATTATGTTGAATGACATGAATTTATTCATGGTTTTTCTGAAATGTATTCTATTTTAACAGATATCCCTCTACAAACCAAAGGACGGATTTACTGTACAGCAGTTCGTTCCGTCCTAATTTATAGCAATGAAACATAGCCGGTAAGAGTAGAGTATATTCGTAGGTTACAGGTATTCAATCATAGATGTCTTTGAAGCATTGCTCGTATATCATGTGACCATCGAGTAAGTAATGCAGTTGTTAGGAAACGGGTACTAAGTAAGGATGGCAAATCAATTAATGACGTAATGAAACTTCATCGGTTGAGATGGCTGGGACATGTGTTACGTATGCTCAATCACCGGCTGCCTCGACATGTGATGTTTTATGGTTTAAAAGTAGGTTGAAAGAAAGGTAGGGGCTGCTAGAACAAAACATGGCACAAATCCATTAAGTTAGTGACAAGTGGACTGAGTCATGTTGGTAGGTGTAGACTACCTGGTTGAAATCCTCGAGATGGTAGCAACCTATTGTTAGAGACCCTGAATGGAATAGCACGGGTGCATCCACTCTTTGTGTTCTCCAAAATTCTAATCTTCTAAATTTTTCATGTCCATTTTTTTCTCTTCCCAAATTTATTTTGTTGGATTATACTCCTTGAATAACATCTTCGAACCCTGTTATTCAAGATTACTGCTTATACTTTTACTACCACTATTGCATCTTTGTGCTAATGTGGTATGGCAACATGAACTGACTTACGTAAGTACGAAGTTCTACGTTGTTGTTGATTGACTGACAAAATGACATACACTAAAACAACTTTGATTTCAATGTTTTGCTATGCAGAGTTGCCGTTCGGGTCTATTATTAATATAGACACTTCCTATATATGATATCAGCCGACTACATCAATAATAAAATCAAAAGTGAATTGAAAGCTTTAATCGACTAATCCATAATCTAGATATATGCATAAACATATCCGCTAATCTAGATATGTTTCACTTAAAAAAAAATTGAGTTAGATTATTAGCTGATAGTATTTGTCTGTCTTTGAATAATTAAGCAAAATCTTGATTCATAGCGTATACCTGTCAATATCCCTCGATTATCATGTTACCTTAAAACGATGTCTGATTAGCCATGCCAATTATATTGAAAAATCAATTTGACAAGCCTTAGCGACGTCTACAAATATATGACGAAACAGCAAGTGATATTTCAACATAGTAATACGATAATCAGTTGCAATAAACATAGGTGCTTATCAAGTATTTTGACTACATTGTTTGTTACGTAATAACTGGTTGTCTATACTTATAATTGAATACGTCATAGGGATTAAGGCTTCGCCAAATATATTTTCTATGAGATTCAAGGAGATTTTATGGTACTTATTATGTATGCTGAATCACGTTTGCATAAGTCTTCAGTTGTACGTAAAACTGTACTTGTAGTGTGATGTGTGTTGCTGATGTCGACAGATATAAGTAGTATTTATCATCAATCGGAAGTGAAATGTCTGGAGGGAGAAGGTTAAGAAGATCGATGAAAAGAGGACGAGAACAGAGAATCGTTGGTGTAGAAACTAAGAAACAATGAAGTCTGAGACAGTCGATTGGCACATTGCAAATGAAGTATTTACTGTATGGTTTGCAGATTTTACTAATAGATTTTGTAATTTTGTGTCCAAGCATATTGAGTTTTAAGATGGTGGTTGGAGATAGTCAACAGGACCATCATATCTCAACATAGTGCACTCAATCATCCAAATGGATGAGTGAATTTAGGGCGAAAATCTGAGACCTGTTTTCTTAAACGTGATTGGTTCTCGCTGAAATACCTGTTCTTTATCTAGATTATATGTTAGATTTGATGTGACACAATGCACATTCAACAATATTAATATATAGTTAGACAATATACTTCTACTTTAAATCTCATCCTTAACTTTCATAAGTTTATAAACAAAAGAATGATAGAGCATTGTTACATTTTAGCTGATGTTGATTAGTAGTGAAAACTCTACAAAGTTTAATTCTAACTATAAACACTAGTCCAATCTCTCAATCAATTTTTCTCTCACTATAATGAATAATTCAATGTCTCAGGGTTTATTATTCATATCAAAGCTATTATTATTCTATAGTAATTCTCTAACTAAATATTGTCTATTCTAGTTGATCGCTCAATGTAGTCAGAATAATAGATCCCTAAAGGGAAGTTACCATTGTTATATCCGTTCAATGTTTTCTATGAATAAAAATGAGAAACAAAGAGGCAATTGGAAGGCTCTCTCGGTGTTCCACATTGTACGAACATCCCATGTACCTAAATAAATGATTGCTCTGGTTGTCAGAAGGGGCATCGGCCTCGTAACTTCCGAAGGAATTCGGCTTTCATCATGAGGTATCATAGTTCTTCTAAATGAAGAACTTCTGACTCCCAGAGCAGAGTTTATAAGGTTTGAATAATTTTTTCTGTTTAGCGTTTATTTTAGAGAGTTAGTTTTCTACGGGATGGGGACGCTAACCCCATGCCCAACCTTCCTCCTTTATCCGAACTTGGGGCCGGCAGTAGCCCCCGGAGGGACTCCAGGCGGAGAAACGAAGAGGAATTTGTATTTAATTGATTGCCTATATTTAACATTAATCCTTAATTTCATTACATTAGGCATTAGATTTGTTTCAAGTAATCTTAACTACTTTTAATTCTATGAAGTGATCAGTTTCTATTTAATAATTTCAGGAAGGACTCGAATATCTCCATACCATCAAAGGATATTTTAGAAATGATAGAATTTCAACGATTACAATGTCAATATACACAACTTAATCTAAATAAGAATATTAAACATTTTCTTGATTTAATACTTCTTTAAAATAATGAATTGTATAACCCCTTTAAGTTTATACCAAGTTCACTATGTACAACATACAAGTATCACTATATATTGTACGTATAGAACAATCCCCTTACTTCGGTTTGGGCACTCGAGCAGTATCTCAGTCCTTACACAAATCAAATGAGATTTATGGTGCGAATATTTTTTTGTTGCCTCCTTGTACCAATGTTTATGTATTTAAATAAATAAATATAGGTCACTTTTAAATGTGATTAATGATTTGATGTTTTTCATAACTATATAAGATCGTTTCAAAACACAACTAGATGCTGTGATCGACATTGATATAAAAATGGTTTTACATTCAGTTACTGCCTTAATAACTATTTTTTAGATAAACAGTGTACATATTAAAATACTAATTTAATGTTTCATTTTCAAATGTATTGTAGATTTTTGTAAATGTAATAAGTTTACAGATTGAAATCATGAGTAAATTGAAGCTAGACCATAATGGAAAACCTGGAAGCAGTTGATGGCCGTTTCTTCCTAGTATGGGACTACTCAGCAGTGCGCATCCACTACCCCGCACCCACGCGAGATTCGAACCCAGGACCTATGATTCTAATCTGGGAAATTTCTAAAATCTCCACAAACCCCTTTTGATAATAATCATCTGCTCACTGGCAGTGACTGACTTCAAGGGATACTCCTGGAGTTCTAGTGAGAAGCCGTTACCAGTGGAGTTCAACCAGGTCTGTTGTGAGATATCAGATCACTGAAGACAATGGTATACGGTAGGGCAACTTCGTGGATTGGTTGAGGTTAGACATTAACACCATTGGATGCCGGCTCAGTGGTCTAGTTTGTTAAGCGCTCGCGCGCGAAACTGATAGGTCCTGGGTTCGGATCTCGCGCGGGTGCGTGATCGTGGACGCGCACTGCTGAGGAGTCCCATACTAGGACGAAACGGCCGTCAAGTGCTTCCAGGTTTTCCATGGTGGTCTAGCTTCAACTGACTCATCATTTCAATCTATGAAATTTCTAAAATCTCCACAAACCCCTTTTAATAATGTAATAAATATTCTACCTGAAAAAATTACATAATAATGTTACTATTCAATTTTAGTTTATACAGAAATATCTACAGTAACTGGGTAAACATTGAATAAAGGTGATAGGTTGAGGTTTTTCTATTGAAAATCATTGGCTAAATTTTGTGAAATAATCACTAAGTTAACGAATCAAATCACTGTACTCTACTGCTTCTAAATGTTTCTTGAGGCATTAAGTATTGTTGTGTTTTGTGATTCTTAAGCTATGAGTAATAAATTGTAAACCTATTACTTAATTTTCCTTTTGTTTATGACATAGTTATTCCTATATCATAATTTCTTATTTGTACTGAAGTGCGTAGAAGAGATCAACGTTTATGAACACATACGTTTGAGTTGTAAAAATTACCTACTTGTTGTGTTTTAGCTATCAGGCAGGTAAGGGTGAGAGACTTTGCCTTGAACTAATGGGCGTTAAACAACGATGAAGATAAGTACAGGTTCTACGCTGTGACTGACTGACAGGAGCCAGATCAACCCCCCCACTAACTACTCATCAAATAATCTCACGAGAATCACCGACATCTTCAATCATAGCATACAAATGCACTAGGTACTTGTATCAATATGAATCAAATAGTGTGAAAGCCGTTTACAAAGAAGGGAGGTGAAAGTGAGGGATTGCTCCCCCTTATTAATCTGTCATTTTAAGGCAGTTGTAGTCAGTAAACTCAACAGAACATGATTTTCAAGAGAATTAAAGAGTACGTAATCCAGTTTTGATAGAGATTTTCATAAATTCTGGCTTACTACTTACTCTTATAAAGCTATTAGCATCAAGTAGTGAGACCTCAAATCTATTTTTCACTGGTTTCATTTAAACACATATTGATTGCATGTTTATTGAGTATTTTTGGTATTATTATTTTCTTAATACACTAGTTCTAAGCTTTTATCTAAATCATAATTAGTTGCTATATTATTTTCCACCCATAAACTACAACCGATTAATTGTATACCCAGTATTCCACTTTCCCATCGTAAATGTTGTTGTATCATGTTAATGCTGATAATGGGTGGTGATCTGGTCTTGTGTGCACATAAATGAATGTTTGAAATATAATAGCAATCTTGGACAGGTGAACATGAGTCTTGCGTTCAGGGCTAGTTAATATTAGGGTTAAACTATAGGCATAAAGTATCAGTTTTCTTGGTCCTTGCTGATTATTGATTACTTAAGTTCGTCTACGTATATTGATTAGTTGTAGAACATAACGAGAACTATTTTCATTTTGCTTTTTACATCCATTAAAAAGTATGGATTTCTGATAACAATGAGTATAAATGTACCAAATTGTTACACAGATAGAAGGCGAATGTACTGAAATATATATTTATTTCCTAATACATTTATACATGAAATGTGTGTACATTATCAGTTTAGTTAATCTAAAGTAAGGCGAAAATGCAACAAAGCAGAAACCACATTCAATCTAAATTAGTATCTGATAATAACAACAAGTGACTATTAGGATCAACCTTCGTCTATTTAATTATTTCGTACATACACAAGATTATTACGTAATAATTTTGCAGTGAAAAATTCAAACACCAAAATTACCGATTGATCAATAAATCACATATAATACATTCCAAATCCAAAAGCGAATCCAGGCTTTACTTGATCACCAGATTGATATGTCATTGGGAAACAATAATTTAATTCAATGCGTAAAATTCCAGCAAAACGAAATACTACACCCATACCAATTACAGTACGAGGTCGACCTTTTAATTCATTTAAAAAATACTGACTAAATTCATTAATAGTTCTACATGTAGAAGGTGAATCCATCAATTTTTGAATAGGTTTTTCTAATGTAGAGCCTATTTTATTCAAATGAAACAGTAGAGTTAAGATAGAAAATAAAAACATATCGGAGAGAAGAGAAGGATTTGTACTATTTCATTGAGTTATATCTTACATGAATTAAAAATATTTCAAAACGAATATATATGAAAGTGTTGTGCCCTGATAAGCATAATGAATGGTAACTTTTAGGATCTATTTATGGACCAATACTATGCGTATATTTTTTATAGTATAATTGCTAAGTAACTAAACTATACACATTCATATCCCTCTTATTATGAGCTTTATTTTCACCTATGAACTAGTATTATACAATTTACCGTTCTTGAGTTATGCTCTGTCTATTAATTACTACCTCCCACATTCACAGCCACATTTGGTCAAATATTGTACAAATGTTATTTTCCATTTTATGGTACGATGTGGTCTGTTGGGTTGGTAATATAAACCGAGTATGTTAGAAGTAAGTGATTCATATCGCAGAAACTGAGATTGGTGTTCTCGACTTAACTGGCTGGGCTAGGCGGGAAGCAGGACCAATAAGGACTCTAGACTGCTCGTACGGGTTTTATGCGTCATTGGTCCGATCGATAATTCACTGCTCTCTGATTGGTGGTATCATTGCGTTATACATTAACAGGGCACTCAAGTCACAAGTTATAACAGAAATATGTCATATCTATCTGCAAAATAACAGATGTATCAATAACACAATAAATGTGGACAAATGTTTAAACTGTACACAGAAATCAATATGTTAAAAGTGAGATCCTTATTAAATAAAACTTGAGAATGTCTACATACACTTGGATCAATAATTGAACTGAAATGTTCTTGTGAGGATGTCACTACCTTAGCCTTTGGCCTATAATCCACAAGTAAGTAGACGTAATCTGACGGTAACTAATGATCGAAGATAGGCTCATACGCCATTTGATCACTCAGGATCTTGGAGCCTACTTACATAAGCGGTTTGGAATCCGATTTTGCTGACTCCTCTGGCAGTGACTATAAAACTGTGGTCATATGAATTCATTGCGAGAGAGAGGACTGTCTCTACTGTCGATCGTAATACGGCGTTTGGGTCCTATGCTGATTGTTTCGATATTTTATAAGCAAAGTTAGATAATGGCCAGCATTGGAGTTTGGAACACATTTGTAAACTGAATGTATCTGCACGCTTCATCCTTCAAATGCCCTGATATAGTCGAGGGAATAGAGAGTTCGTTTTCCCGTTTTAAAATGCTCTCACATGGTCACGCGTATACAGCAACTGCCAAGGAAGTCCTACTTACTACGTTCTCGCGGTGTGGGTATTGTTTACAAAATTGGTGTCTTCTTGTACCAATGTTTGTGTTTAAATAAATGATTATGCACACTCCAGAATTGATGTTCACAACGTGACTCGAAACTATTACCGTTCGCTTTAGTTACTTGTGGATAACTGAATAATCTAAACTAGGTTCATTAGATTAAATAACTTCTAGAATAAATTACTAAACATTTCATTCAATAAAATATGTGATATGATATTCATTTAACTATTTCTCAATAATAACAATCTTAATTAATTTACCGGCAAGAAAGAATCCATGTAAACGTAATTGAGAAGCTAATGAACCTTCTTCAGCACCCCAATATGGTAATGGAGTGTATAAATGAGCTCCAGTTAACCAGAAAGCATCAGCACCAATAGGTGATGATGGTGAGTTAGTAGATACAGGCGCTGATAATGATTGTTGATTGTTATTATTAAGTGTTGTTTCATAACTATCTAACGTTTGAACAGTTGGTACTAGTAATGGCTCTGATGGACTTACAGTACGCCATTGAAATCCTCTAAGTTCTAAAGGTCCACCCAAAAAAAATCTATCAGAAATATGAACCTATAATATAATTTTTAAATAAATAAACAATTAACAAAAGCAAAATAAATACTAAACAATAAAGACTATTTACAATAGGATATAGAAAATGCAAAAAAATAGTTAAGTGTTATATTAACAAAAAAGTCCACAGTTCGTTTAAACATTGGTACAAGGAGTCACCAAACAGATATGCGCTACGTAACTGACTGACTGACGTAAATCATTCGGTCTATGTGAGGGCTGAGATACTGCCCATGGGTATCTAAACCGAAGCAGGTGGTTCCATTAGGGGGCCACACCTGGAACCTTTTACCCAAGGGTTTAATTCACAAGGCAGTGGAGCAACGTAAGGAGATGCAGTCCCACAGTGGCCGATGACCAATAATTGGTTCATACGTCATTTATTTTTTTAGGATCCTGGAGACCATGTACACCATTGGTTTGGAATCAGGGTTTTCCAACTCTCCTAGGTGAATCCTC